GTAGACAGCTTGTACGTGGTAGGTATTACTAAACAAAATTTAATCAAAAATGTTTTCAATTATTTTTGATAAGGTTGATAACAGCGATATTGCTCGATAATTTCCTAATTCATTATTATTTCCATTTTTAAATAGCGGTTTTACTATAGCACATTTTAAAATCTTTGGAAAAATGTCAGTGGTTCAACAATTTCGTAAACAATTTGTTTTAAAGTCTCTGCACGAATTTCATCCAAACCTGGAGATTTTTTATTTTTCAGATTATTTATTATTTCTAAGACCTCCGATGTGTCTGTTGGAAATAGATACCTAGTATTTTCCAAAAAATCTAAGTTATCTTTATAATTATTCAGATCTGGTATTCTGTCAGCTAAATTTTCTACAATTATTGTACCGAAGTAAGTATTAAAGTGATTTACAATTTTATCCGTTTTTTTACTGTTTTTTCGTCTAAAAGTTTAATTTCCTCATTGTTTTTATTTTGCTTTTGTTTACCGCGCAAATATCTTTTACGTATTCCCAAACGGCTTTAGATGTATTTTCATTAGCTTCAATTTGTCGACAAAAATATGTTCTCTTGGCTTTTTTTAATTATATTATTTAATCGGTTATTATAGTTTTTGTATTGTTCTTTTAATTCCATATTATCTGGATGTTTTAAGGTATATTTGTTCATTGTCTGTACTTTTTAGCAATCCTGGTGCCACCCATTTTTTTACGAATATTTTTCGTTTTTATTAAGATTATATTTGTATTTTTATTTATAAAAGATTTTAATTTAGATATAAAGTTTTCACACATGATATCTGGGTTTATTTCATTATAAAGTTTATTCCAAGATTCATTAATTAATTCCTGCTTTAGATTTTTATGATTACTATATCGTTTAATATTTTGTGAAGGCTCTTTGATACTTTATCTGTTCTAAATGTGAGTCCTATTGGGCAGTGGTCCGTTATATGGTACCTAAATATAAATGATTTTATATGTCAAGTTTCTAAGATAGTCCTAGAGTGTATCCAAAATTGGTCCAAACAAGTTTTACTTGGTAAACGTGTGTATTCATTGATATATGATATAAAGCCCTGAGAACTTAATATATTTTTTAATAATGAATATTATTCTTTTTTTTTTCAATATTATAGAAATTCATTATTAACGTCACATTTGGGTGCTGCCAGATGGACTCGCTCAAGAATGCATTTGCCTTTAATGTTTTGAATATTATTTGATTCACAAATGTGCACCAAACTTTACATCAAATCCTGGATTACTTAACAAATTAATAATAGTTAAACACAAGAAAGTAAGTAATAAAATATTACTTAGCCGATCACTACTAGAGGAAAAGGGCCTATGAAAGTAATCATAAAATTCTTTAAATATTACAAAGGGGAGTTACAAAAGTCATGATTTATCCAAAACATGAAACGATTGGGATGAGAGCTTACAGTATTTTCAGAGATTTTTTTATTATATATAAATTAACGTAATGTTAAATTTCGTTGGATCGCCATGTATATAGGCACTTATTATACAAATATTAATAAAAATCCGTTTAACCAGAAAAATAACACATGATAAAATAATTTCAAAAAGTGACAATTAATTTAAATTTGTTAAGGTCGAGAAAAATGGAAGACACTTAAATTTCTCTATTGTCACAATGATTCGTGAACCGTATTTTAAATAATTATCATCATTGTGTTCTTGTCTTCGCAAGTAAAGAATGGTGACATTCTAAGTATTTTTTTACGTATTATTAAAATGATTATGGTGTCCATTAGAGTGAAATAAATCATTTGTAATCAATTCCATTCATTTGTCTTTATTTCCATTCTCTTTTATATTTAGTAGCGTAACAAATCGCTAGAAAATATTTGTTGAGTAAAAAATGTTATGTATATCTACCTAATCTAAGATGTCTCAATCTTATACGAATGCGTATTAATACGTCTCATATCACAAAATGCATATCGCATCCGTATTTAATAATCATGAAGACCTTTTCTTATCTGTAAAAATTTAAAAATTCACGTAATGATTTTCAAATTTTTGAGCTATCGGGGTATTAATATATACTATTTTGTAGAGTTCTACGAGAAAATTTCAATACTGCAAACGGCATATTGTAACAATTGTTTAATTTAAAAATAGTTTATTTATTTAAAACAGTCTATTTATAATTTATTTAACGCACTAATTAATTTTTTTGATACTTAATCACTATTATAAATCACACTTCTAATTTATGTTTACACAATTTATCTTTACTTGATATCTATATTGAAACTTCACGTCTACCGACAAAGTCACGCTATTTATACAAAAATAAAACCATCTAAAAATAACCAACCCTGGGTAGAAGGATTTTGAAACGTTCGTTAAGCGCGTGCGTCCTCTGCGCGTCAGCTGCATACCGAGAAAAGGCCAGCAATGTCTCGATCACGAGACATGCAGACAACGAAAGTGGGAACATAGACGTATCGGCAACAGTAAAGATAAATAAAGTACAGAGTCGGCTTTAGGCGATTGCACGACAAAATCATATCTAAAATGTTGTCTAAATAATTAATTTTAAAGTTATTAAATTCATTAGTAAGAATTAACACAGTAGCCAAAATCTGATTATTCTGCCATTTTATTACCCAACAAACAATTATCTTTGGCCTATATATGGCCCTCTATTGGTTTGCCATACTTATCTCTATTGGTCCAACAACTGTTTGGCACCCCATTATACTTGTTTAATAATGGGAAGCCAGCTATAGCTTACCGCTGTCCCGACGTCTAGGGCCTTTAAAGTCCCTCTGTTATTGTGTTGAAAATGTCGTGGTTGTAACCTGAAAATAAATCCAACCTTTGTAAAACCATAAAATTACAGTTAATTATTTTATCTTTTTTTAATTAGCCCTTAATTTAAAACACAGCATGAAAATAAAGTATAACATAGAACATATTATTTGAAATCAACAAAACATGAGAATGCTTAAAACGTCAAATATATAAGTAGGTAATTATTTATAGGGCCGCACACGTCCCACAATCGTTACGTTTTTGCAATTCCGATGGGAACAACCTTAACTACCAGCACTTGCCCAACACCAATTCACCGCAGTGTTGGTAATAAAGTAATAATAAATTAACAAAATGAAAAGACAGGGACGACATCCCTTATTATATCCCCCATCTCCCCCCACCGCCTTCGGATACACATGTGTGTTGAGCTAACTTTAAGGATAGGGTAGATATGGACGTTTAAAGAAAATCAAAAAAATCCCTATTTATAACTAATTATCTACCAGGGTCACCAACCGTCCGTCATTATGACGGACAGTCCAGCATTTAAATAGTGTGTCCGTCAGTCCGTCAAAGCATAGTTAATGACCGTCCAGGTCGCCCAGAATATTTGCTCTGCTGTATGATGTGCTGTGAACGGAGTGCGTTTGTGTCACATACTTTGATTACTATACGAGGCAAGAGAGAGGTCCGACACGCCCAACATAGGGCGCGGGCATTTTGAACCCTGTGACACAGTTTACAGCTAAAGAATCAGATCGCTCACTCTGCGTCGGCACTTTTGATCTCAATGTTTCAGTTTATATATACACTGTGCAACTCGGATAATACAATATATGACAACCGCCTATAATAAAACAGCAGTCTTCTGCGTATCCTGAATTTGTATCCCTGGAGTGGATGTTATTTTGGAACTTTCAACTGGTCCGAGCGAGCTAACTGATTCTTAAGCAATAAACTGTGACTTCAAAAATAATATTCACTGACACTGACAGCAGCAAGCAAAATATCAGGTGCGTTTTAATCATCCGCTTCTGCTTCCGGAATTGTCGGTTTAGTCGTTTTAACCTGTCAGATTAAAACAAGAAAACCGACAATTCCGAAGCAGAAGCGGGTGATTAAAAAGCACCTATTAAAAATATTGCGCCAAGATGTAGGCAACACGTAATAAGGGTTCAAAATGGCGGAGTTTTCTATCTCCTTTTAAAAGGCACTCAGAAAGCTGCGCAGTGCGACCATTCTCCGTATAGTAAAAGAAAATCAAAGTATGTGGTTTGTGTTTATTAATATTGACTTTTAAAATGGGTGATTCCCCAAACAGTGCCGACAATGGCAGCAGTGATACACATAAAAAGAAAACCCTAAACGACTTTGTTATTTTTTTTTTAGTTCAGTTTATTTTTGTTTCTTTTTTCTGTTTGAAACTTGTGACATAGATATTCTTTTTTTGTACCTTAAATAAAAACTTTGCGATTACTTAATTATTTGTAAAAACAGTTCAAACTATCTTCACAAAAATTAGGTACGGATTTCTTAAAAAATAAGTAATTTTGATTAAAAGAATGAAAATGGACTGAGTTGTTTTTACTTTATTTCCCTTAAAATCCCCTCTCTGTCCGTCATATATATTTCAAAAACCTGGTAACCCTGTTATCTACCCAACTACTTCCTTGTAAAACCTCTAGTTCAAAGACATAAGACCTCTAGTTATAGGAACCGTGGGTAGGAACGATGGAAAATAAAGTAAACAGAGTTTAAAATTTATGGAAAATTTAGTAATAGATGGTTTAACAGTAAAAATCTGTGAGCCTGTGGGCTTAAACTAAATATAAAATAACCAAAGTCCAAAGTTTGATTCATTAAACTCACATTGAACTTTGAACTATCATAACATTGGCAAGCTAGTAGCTGGGTAGCTTAGAATGTGAAGACCCAATTGAATACGAATAGAAGTAGTATTTCTACTGCGTTCGAACTTTGAATTTGAAAAATATCCATTACAAATATCCAAACACATATATTTGAACTACAATAACCAATTTGTGTTTTCTGAGAGCTCATAACACCGTTAAAAATAAATAAATTTAACTGAATATGGGAAATAAAGGTAGAAAGAGTATTAAAAATTGAAATCGGAACGAACTCATCATTTATCATGCAAACGTCAAATACTGTCATTGTCAGATGTCAATAAATGTCAAATAGTTCATAGTTCCAAACAAAATTCTTCATTCATACTTATTTTCATGCGTATTTTAATTACCATTAACGTGTAAATAGAAAATTTCTTGAATTGAATAACTTTTATTACTCAATTCAAAATTATAATCCATATGGAATAAGTTGTGTATTAGCTTTTGGAATATTTTCAGGTAGGTATCGCGTTACATTAAAATGGTGATTGTAGTCAAGTTTTGACAAAAACAACGCATTTTCTGTTAACCTTATTTTAATCAACATCGTTCATGTAATGATCATTTATTACGCTGGTGATCACCGAAATGTGCTTGCTGTTTGTTACATATGTGCTTAGTTTGTTGTTCTCTACAGATAACTGGGATGAATTACTGATATTAATAACTGTGAATTTGTTTTATTTACCAATTAATACTACGAATAACAATAGACCGAAATTTAAATAACAAGAAATCATTTAAACATACGTAATTACTGGATAAAAACTACATAATCTGTTATTAAAATAAGTATTGTTTTTTTTGCGAAATGTCATCTGAGAAACTGAGCTTCTTTTCTTGATTAACAACTAAAGTGATAATCATTACAATTATATGGAAAAAATATTTAAATCATTATGATCCTGAACTTTTTACTCATGCACCGATGAGCACTTGTATTTTTCTGCTTTGCTTTCTGTCTTATTTTACATATTTTGATGAGATGCCCTAAATCAGATTCCACCAAATCATCTTCATTAGAACTGATAGCTTTTCCATACCATTATAAACAAATGCATATATGATATATTTCCTGATAAATATCCATTCTGCTGCATTAGCTTAAAACATTTAAGAAAAATGCCAGTTGATAATAAAATGTATTTATTGTTTACCTCAGTATTGGCATATCTCATTTCATTACTAAGAATGTAACCATCCTGCAAATCAATTTTTGAAAACTCACTGCATGTTTAAACACCTATCTACCATGCGAAACAATCTGAACTGAAAGTTAAAAATGATATCTTTTTCTTGGATTTAAAATATTTATTAAAAAAACAACTTTGCAATGTACTAAATGTTTTTACATTAATTACTAGTCTTTTGTGGCATTTTTAACTAGACTCCAAAGTCAATTATTGGGTAATAATTCAGATATATTTTAATTAAAAATTGTAAACTTTCTTAATTTATTAGATTATCTACTTATTCCAGAGTACATTGTCACCAATTTTTGACTAGAAATTAATTTGTTTTGTTACTTAAATAAATTTTGTATTAAAATAAACCTACATATTTCATATAAAAAGGAAATGTATCACTAAATATTCTCAAGCATCTTTCAAAATTCATTTTCATGATTTCTCCAAGAAAATTATAAATATTTTTGAAATTTAGTATGATATCTTTTTATGTTTAGATAAATTAATTTGCAGCCTTTATTTACTCTATAAAATGATATAAAAAAATTAATTTTATTAATTTAAAATGTAATATATAGAATGAAACAAATATAGATAATGAAAACAAGCAAATATACATTTTTATGAAATGTTTCCTTCCTTAGCTACATTAGTGGTATCATTGTCATTCACTCCATGTTTGCCTGCCGCTTTATGTTTATTCATACATTTTAAACAATATTTTTTTAGAAGTTTACATTTTTTAGTGAATCTTTATTTCTTAAAAATTTCAGTGCATATAGTTTGAAAAGTTAGTTCTTTAACAAAGAAAAATAACATATTTTTTTAAATTCAACTGTTTATGATTTTAGAATATGAATGATGTAAATTCAGTTGGGCCAGCTGGTCCTATGACAATAAATAAAGAACTAATTGTTAAAGAAGGATGGCTACAAAAACGAGGAGAACATTGGAAGAATTGGAGATCAAGGTAATATAAAAATTGGTTAAGTTTTTTACCCAGAACTTCCCTCGATATAAAAATTGTAAAAACAGGATACTCCTAAACACATTTTAACAATTTAAAATTAAAACCATTAGACCAAAAACCCTTTTTCACCTTCCTCTCTCCATTGATATTCCATATTCCTCTTGATCCTACCTGAAATCTTACTTTGGGTCTCCCAGTGTTCTTCATCACATTTAATGTTTTTGAACAATAATGATTTACTGCTTTTAAAATGGTCCAGTTACACAAACCAAAAAGATGCTTTTTATTATCTCCATTCAAAGGGGACCTTTTTTATTAAATACGATTCCTTGCAGCGCCATTTTGAATTTTTAGAAATTTATTTATGATGTTATCTTTGACTTCTAAATAGTGGGATACCAATTTTAGTTGAAATCCACTGACTTTTAAAATAAATTATTTTTTTTAAGCTGCTCACCCTGTATATAACAGACCGAAAGTATAACTGGTTTTGAGCCAGAAAGGAGCCTTGCTTACAAACAAAATTTGAAGTTTTTCTCTAAAGCTGTTTTTGAGCTATCATGTCAACAGACAGACAATGACAGACAGACTTCCTGGAATGAGGAAACATGTCTTTTGTAATCTAGGGACCTTGAAACGTGTAGCTCTGAAATTAATCTTTAGGGTGACTTTTTCATGATTACAATACTTCCCTCTTATCCAGGAAAGTAAAAAGATTGGTTTGGTTCTTAAATTACTCATCACAAATAATTCAAAATTACCTCTTACTATAAACATTATTCATTAATTCTTTACAAAACACCTGCTTTGATATTTTATCTGTCCAATAAATGCTTGATATGGAATGCAAATAAATAATCTAATAAAGGAAATAAATTCCATATCTCAAATGTGACCAATTTAAAAATAACTACAGTGGAAAAAGAGAAAAACAACAGGTCCCTGTAACAGAAACGTAAAGCGACCGTTTTTACTTCCTGAAAACAACTACTCTTTTGACAAAACCTGCAACAGGCATGGCATTATATCAAAAAGAATTCGCAGAAATAGAAAATAATTTTCAACACTAATTTTGATTTTACTTCCTAGGGAGAACGTCATTTTTAGACCAGTCTTGTTCTTATTAGGACTCGTCAGCAAGAAATAGATATTCTTGATTCCAATCTCTAATGGAACCAGAAAAGGGGTTACACTTCCTCATCACTCAAAGCCAGTTCTGTGACATGGACTTTGAGTTCTTCTTTTTTCCTTTGTATTTATTTTTAGTTATTAATTGAACTTCTGTTTATCTATTGAAAATAAAAAAGTGTGTTTTGCATGATGAAATAATTGATCCTTTAGTAATGAGTTCAAATCCCACCATCATTAATTTCTTTCTTTATTCAATAATTTTATCAGAATTTAATTGGACCTAATACCTATCCTCAAAAAAGTATTTGTCGAAAGTTTCCATAAAAAATACCGTTTCTAGTCTTAACCTTTACATCTTGGTACTTATGCACTTATATAGTCATGTGAAACAGAAAATAACAATATTAAAAAAAATAACTATTGACTCATTGAATATTTAGAATATGTAGACTACTTTTAAATTCCTTAGATATATGAGTTTTTAACAACCTATTGTGTTTTTTTTTTTTTTTTTTAGATTTTTTGTTCTTCTCAATGACGGCACTTTGGTTGGTTTCAAAAATCAACCTGATAATTACAGTCATGTAGAACCTCTGAATAATTTCACTGTAAAAGGTTGTCAAATTATGTCAATAGACAGACCAAAGCCTTTTACATTTATAATAAGAGGACTGCAATGGACGACGGTTATTGAAAGAATGTTCTGTGTAGAAACCGAACAAGAAAGGTGAGTTAATGAATATAGAAGATTCTAAGGATACAATTGTGCCACAATATTTTTTATTGTACTATTTAAATGTTTTAGGTATTGCATTTTTGGATAAAACTGAAGTTAAAACAAGTTCTTTTTTTTATTTTTAAATTGAGTACATATCAGCACTTGAGTCGGCACTAATATGATTCTACCATATTTTCCTTTTATTTCTCTTGATCCACCAATCTTGTTTCTTTAAATCCATCTTCTTTATTTCTTTAAATCCATTTCCCTTATTTCTTTGGACCTATCCCCCTTATTTGTTTATATTCATCTACCTTATTGCTTAAATTTTCTCCCTTGTTTCTTTAAATCTATCCCCCTTATTTATTTTTCTAGATCCATCTCACTTATTTCTTTGAATCTATCTTCTTTATTTCGGATCCATCTCCCTTGTTTATTTGGATCCTTCTCCCTTGTTTATTTGGATCCTTCTGTGAATTATGATCTTACACAAAGTTAGTGATTTTTTATATTATGTATAATTATTTCTCAAAATTAATAACTTGATCTGCAGTTAGTTTTAAATTTTTTTGTTATATAAATGTTTAGAGCTTGTAATTTTTTAGAGAGGAATGGGTTCAAGCAATAAAAATGGTGTCAGAACGAATATCAGACTGTGAAGATGTAGAAATGAACCCAGCGAATATTGAAATGGGGACAATGGAGGATCTGTGCGAAAAATTCTCATTACAGGGAACTTCCATTTCAAAATCAACTGGAAAAAGGAAAGTTACCCTCGAAAGTTTTGAATTTATTAAAGTGCTTGGGAAAGGTACTTTTGGAAAAGTGATCCTATGTAGAGAAAAAGCCACCGGAAGATTATATGCTATAAAAATTCTCAAAAAAGAAGTAATTATTCAAAAGGATGAAGTTGCACATACCCAAACTGAAAACAGAGTTCTGCGGACAACTCATCATCCATTTTTAACTGTGAGTTTACAATTAAAATCATTTTATTTATATATTTTTGAAATATGTTGTTCTGTCTTTATTTTATTAATTTCTAGTATTAAAAACCTGCATAACGTGGTTAATTATTATTTAAGGAACCAACACATTTAGAGACAAGTTATAAAAGTAATTTAAAAAAAACGACTTCAAAATCGTGCTGATACAAATTGAGTTGCCGATTTTATCATAGATCCTATCATTAGATTTTGATTAAATATATATGAAGTGCCCCCTTTCTAACAAAAATAGTCACAATAGACAATGTACTAAAGAATTATCACAACATACATAAAAAAATGAAGATTTTTTTTGATTTTTGTATGGGCGCCATTAATAGAACTTGTCCAAATTTATATGGGACCACCCTTGAGGTACCCTCTTTCTAACAAAAAAAAAAAAAAATAGAAATCGGACAATGTGAAAAATAATTATCTCTGAAATACATAAAAAAAATATTCTGATGAATTGAGAACCTCCTCCTTTTTTGAAGTCTCTTAAAAATGGAAAAGTTGTTTTTTTAATAGTGCTATGAAATGTCAACAGACTTAACCAATGGGCATGTGTGAAAAGTGGACATGTCAAAACAATATTTTCAAAAGATTTATTTACTTTTTAACTGACTTCAATTCGTTGGTACATACATAATTTTTTTTATGTATGTTTAGAGATAATTCTTTAACACGGTGTCCGATTTCAATAATTCTTTTTTTTGTAAGAAAGGGGGTACCTCAGGGGTGGTCCCATATAAATTTGGTCAAAGTCTAATAATTGGGTTCATGAGAAAATCCTCACTCTTTATTTTTTATGTATGTTTAATGATAATTCTTTACCACCTTGTCTGATTTCTATGATTCTTTTTTTGTTAGTAAGGGGGTACCTCAGGGGTGGTCCCATATAAATTTGATAAAAATCTAATAATTGGGTCCATGAGAAAATCCTCAAACTCTTTATTTTTTATGTATGTTTAGTTAGTGATAATTCTTCACCACCTTGTCCGATTTCTATGATTCTTTTTTGTTAGCAAGGGGGTACCTCACGGGGTTCCATATAAATTTGGTTAAGATGTGGTGATGGCATCTGCACGATTTTGAAGTCGGTTTTTTAAAATTACTATTAATACTTGTGTTACTGTTATGTATTAATATTAAAATTATGGAAAATCAGAAACAAATACCCAAATTCTCCCACGAAATTATAGAATGTATTCCTGAACCGCAAGGTAAAAATGAACAAATAAATTTTTTTAATTATGTTCCATTTTTTTTATTTTCTGGAATAAAACTTAAGATTTTTTTTTAATTTTTTGAATAAATTCGATAATTTCGTAGGGGAAATTTGGGTATTTTCTATTTTTTGTTCTTTAATTTTTTGTTTTTCATAATTTCGTCGTTGCCCAAGCAATGAAGAAGCATTTATCATAGGGGTTACCTGTGAAAAATTAGAATAAAGCTAAAAATTGCTCCCGAGCTAGCTGAATTGCAATTTTTATTAAAATTATTTCTATTTTTTTATATATATATATATATTTTTCTCTTGATATTTTTACCTTTTATATAATTTTGTAGGATCCCCTCTTTTTTCAATATTTTTTGAATTTTTAGTTTGATGGTTTCACTTTAGGCATCTAGAATAAATTCTATAAGTTTGTAAAAGAATATTGGTTTTATTTTAGAGGAAAATATTTTTTTTTTCGATATTTTTAATTTTTTGTCTATAATTTCTTAGGTGTAATTTATGACTTTTTTTTGTTTTTTTTTTCGGTTTGTTGCCTTTTTTATTTCAATAGTTTTCATATATTTGTTTGTTTAATTTTTTTTTTTATTATTTTGGAGGAGAAATTCCATAATTTCTTAGGAATAATTTGAGATTTTTTCCTTTTTTTTTTTCTTTTTTTTTTTCTTTTTTATTTTAATATTTTTTTAAATTTTAGTTTATTTTAATTAATAAACTATAGCACTGTTTTGTTGTTGTTTAATGATTAATAAAAATAAATAGACCCATGTTCTGCTTTCAGTCTCTAAAATATTCTTTCCAAACAAATGACCGATTGTGTTTTGTCATGGAATATGTCAATGGTGGGGAACTTTTCTTTCATCTGTCCAGGGAGAGGGTGTTTTCTGAAGAAAGGACCCGATTTTATGGTGCCGAAATCATATCTGCCTTAGCTTACCTTCATTCACAAGGAATTATTTATAGGTTAGTATTTAATTTACAATGCAATACTTTGCTGTGTTACATCGAATAATATTTACAGGGATCTTAAACTCGAAAACCTCTTGTTAGACAAAGACGGTCATATAAAAATTGCCGATTTCGGACTCTGTAAAGAAGACATTACTTATGGACGTACGACTAAAACATTTTGTGGCACTCCGGAGTATTTAGCACCAGAGGTTTTAGAAGATAATGATTATGGTAGAGCAGTCGACTGGTGGGGAATAGGAGTGGTTATGTATGAAATGGTAAGTTTGTGTTCATAAAAGCTTCTTATATTTATATCCAAAATTGTTTAATTAATTAACAAATAAAGCAGAAGAGGACATTTCTTTTAAAACCAAAAGATTCTACATTTTCTACTGTTTGAACTTAAAAAATAAGTTTCTAAATAATAAAGTCAATAATTTTCAAATTTAAATAGATGTGCGGAAGACTACCGTTCTACAATAGAGACCACGATGTCTTATTCACCCTCATTCTTATGGAAGAAGTTAAATTTCCGAAGAATTTGAGCTCAGAAGCAAAGGACCTTCTTGCCGGGTTACTCGTTAAAGACCCCACGCAAAGATTGGGCGGCGGGCCAGATGATGCGAAACAAATTATGGCCCATCCGTTCTTTAGCAGCATTAATTGGAGGGATTTAGAACAAAAAAAGGTATGTTTCTTTGGATAAATTTAAACATACTGTATGTTATCGAACTAAAAGTAATAAAACGTGTATGATATTTGGAGGTGAAATATGTGTAATTAAAATTTCCTCTCTTAAATCTTTATTTTTCTTTACTTCTTGTTGTAAAAACAAATTAAAAAATACGTAAAATACGTTCTACATCTATACCTATCCATTTTTCAGTAAAATTTCCAATTAATCGCCATTAACTACTGTCTAAAATTTTCGGAAATTAAAATTGTAGACGTTTTAGATTGTATTGTATAAAAGTTACTTCAATTTTTAATTAAAGCTCTGATATCAAACATCCTTTTGTCTGCATCTTATTAATGATTATTTAATATTTTTTAATTTACCTATAAAAAAAATTTCGGTCATCTTTTAATTTTTTTACAGCATTTTAGCCATATATTAATTAATAAATTTATTTTCTATTCGGTTTAAAATATATTTTAAACCAATGTGATAACTATAAAACAGCTTTTGTCAAATATTTCTTCCAATTTTAGATTCCACCACCTTTCAAACCTCAAGTGGCGAACGACACAGACACGAGGTATTTCGACTCCGAATTTACGGGAGAAAGCGTAGAATTAACGCCGCCGGATAGCAATAGGCTGTTGGGTTCCATACAGGAGGAACCTTACTTTCCCCAGTTCAGTTTTCAAGATTTATCATCTACATTGGGAAGTTCGGCTTACATTAGCGGTAGCATGACCAGTGTAGCTCCGATGCAGTGACTTACCTCATTGCACAACGGTAATAAGTTGTCCTATTATATGAATTTGTGGGTTAGAAGTTATTTCGAATTATTTTTATGCTCATTTGAATCAATTTAGTTTTCATCTATCGGTTTCAGTTTTACTATTCCAGCATCCCCACAAAGTGCTCAATTTCCTTCATTTCTTATATTAAGGAGATTGAAGCTGGCTTTCCATTAGTTGCTTTAAAAATTTTGGGAGTTTTATTAATAATAAACAGTAAACACAAATAACATTTACTTGTCAGAAATCGTTTGCCACGGAAGAGCCAATATTTTATTTTTTATTTTTCCTGCTTTTAAGCGGAAAAATAGTTTATTCCGATATTTAACGTGGAAAAATAGTTTATTCCGACTTAGAATTAGGAAAAATCGATGTTACTGACTTTAGAACTCGGAAAAATTAAATTATTCCGTCTAAGAACTCGGAATAACCTATTTTTCTGACTTAAAACTCTGAAAAATCGATTTATCTGACTTAGAACTCGGAAAAATAGATTATTCTGACTTAGAACTCGGCATAACCTATTTTCTGACTTAAAACTCGGAAAAACCTATTTTTGTGACTTAAAACTAGACAACATAGATTATTTCGACTTAGAATTCTGAAAAATAGATCATTCCGGCTTAGAATAAAAAAAAAATAATTTATTTTTCTGACTTAGAAGTCGGAAAGATCGATTTTTCTGATTTAGAACTTGTAGAAATTAGATCATTTCAACTAAGAACTCAGAAAAATAGAATATTCCGACTTAGAATTCAGAAAAATAAATCAATCTAACTTAGAACTAAAAAAGAAACACTATTTTTCTGAATCGATATATCTGACATAGAACTCGGAAAAAGATTATTCAGACATAGAACTCTGTATAACCTATTTTTCCGACTTAGAACTCGGAAAAACCTTATTTTTCTGACTTAGAACTCGAAAAAATAGACTATTTCAACTTAGAACTCGGAAAGATTGATTTTTCTGACTTAGAACTCGTAAAAATAGATTATTCCAACTATGAACTCAAAAAAATAGAATATTTCTACTTAGAACGCGGAAAAATAGATTATTCCGAATTAGAACTAGAAAAAATAGATTTTTTTGACATTACTCAGATAAATAGATAATTCCGACTTAGATCTCGGAAAAATTGACTTTTCTGACTTAGAACTGAGGAAAAATAGATTATTCCAACTAAGAACTCTCAAAAATAGATAGAATATTCTGACTTAAAACTCGGAATAACCTATTTTTCTGACTTAGTACTCAGAAAAATCGATTTATGACTTAGACCTCGGAAAAATAGATTATTTCGACTTAGAATTCAGAAAATAAAGCATTCCGACTTAGAACTGAAAAAAAGAAACGATTTTTCTGACTTAGAACTCGGAAAATCAATTTAACTGGCTTAGAACTCGGAAAAATGGATTATGCCGACTTATACAGAAAAATAGATCATTCCGACTTAGGATTAAAAAAAAACACGACTATTTTGACTTAGGATTTGGAAAAATAGATTATTCCATCTGAGAATTCAGAAAAATAGATCATTTCGACTCGGAAAAGAAATCGATTTTTGTGACTTAGATTTCGAAATAGATTATTCTGACTAAGAACTCAGAAACATTAAATATTCTGACTTAGAAATCGGAAAAATAGATTCCGAATTAGAACTAGAAAAATCGATTTTTCCTGATTTAGAGCTCGGGAAAATTGATTTTTTTGAATTAAAACTCGGAAAAATACATTATTGTGACAATGCACTTGGAAAAATAGATTATACCGAATTAGAACTAAAAAAAAAAATCGATTTTTCTGACTTAGAACTCGGAAAAATAGATTATTCCCACTTAAAACTGGGCAAAATAGAATATTCTGACTAAAAATTCACAAAAATATATTATTTTAACTTATAAGTCGAAACAATAGATTATTCCTACTTAGAAGTTGGAAAAATTGATTATTATTCCGACTTAACTAGGAAAAATAGATTATTATAACTTAGGAAAAATTGATTTTTTCGAGTTCTAAATGAAAAATGTATATATGTATATGGTGGTCCTTCTAAGCTTCCTAGTTTGCAAACAAATGTTTGTGATATGTTCTTGGAGCAACTAATCTTCCCACCCTTGTTATTTAAATCTTCAAGACTTGTTTTTCGAAAAAATTTCTTAGTGATATTATACAGGGTGATCCAGTTTATATCGTCAGAATTCTGTACCATGTGTTAAAGTTTATTTTTAAAGTTTTTATTATTAATATCTAAAAAGGCTTCGACCAATTTTAATAACATTTTCACAGTTTGTTGACAACTTTATGAGGATTCTTTCGTACATGTTACAATTGATTAAGTAATTCCAGAGCGTGCTCGTAGGCACTTCGATTAGTTTCTGGCACAAAAAATATCGTCCAGTAGATTTTTTAAATAAACTAATTAATAATACAATTGTTTTTTTGTTTCTTAAATTTTTTGTATCTTTGATTTCGAGGAAAAAACTAACAATTTTACAAGTCTCTGAATACGTGAACGTAGAAAGCAAAATTGAATTATAGGTTATTGGATAGAGAGAGGAGAATATACAGAGTCTCCAGGGATCGACTGGAAAAGAGGAAAAACTTTATTTTCAACTTTTAGAGAAAATGTTATTCTTCAAAAGTTTTTGCTCAAAAATAATTCAAACAAAAGTTGAATATCTTTTTACTTTAGTGAAATAATGAAAACAACAAAAACTTTAATTGATTTTATATTGTTTGACTTAAAAGAAAGTTTCTGTTTTATTTTATATTATCCAAAATGGACATATTTTTCAGCTCTGCGTAAAAATTTATTGTAAATATTTTTTTTCGGTTCTTGAAAAATGGAATATCTTTTAAAATTTCAACTTCATTTTCCAAAGTATGATTGTAAACAAATTGTTTTAAGGTAATTGACAATTAATGCAAAGCCACCCAATTACTTGATTTAATTACATTCTTGTCATTATTTTACTAAAGCAAAGATATACTAAATTCCTGTTTGAATTAATATTAGTTTTAAAACTAGCAAAACCTTTTATAACGAATAACATTTTTTAAAAAGGTCAAATTAAAAAACTTTTTCATTTCATTCGGGTATACCCGGTATGTATGATAAACACATGAAATATATAAATAAATAACAAGTTAAAAGTTTAAAATGAAATCCAAATAAAACGAACAAAGGACTTAAAAGTTATTTATAACAGTTGTAAGTAATATAAAAATCATAGAATTATTTACTATTCATGATAAAATTCAACCATATCATAGTATAATTTGTCTACTAAAAGTAAGCATGTAGATGTTTTCTCAAATTACTGAGAGTATTAATGTTTTTAAGAGATAAGGGTAATGAATTAAAAATGTTGATGCCATTTTAAATTTATTAGTACCTTTATTTTTCGATAAACTATCCGCTGGTGAAATCCTGATGATATAAACTGGGCGTGGGTGTAAAAAAATATTAATTTAAATTTTTTTTTCTCTTTTAGTTCTAGGTACTTATATGGAAATACAACTCCACTAGACAGTAAGTTATAAATCGTTATCATTTTTGTGATAATTTTTTATACATAATGTAAATAAAATTAATATGGTATTGTTTTAAAAACATGCTATTCATTTTGTATATAAATAAGTTATTACATTTCTGTAGATAAATTAGTGAATTTTTTTTAATTTTCATTATAAACAGAAAAAGTGAATTGTGTGTGGTTTTCAAAAACTAGAACTTTAAAAAATTTTGATGCTTCATTATTTAGAATGTCCTATTTTTTTTATAAAACTTTGAAATTCATATTTTATTTAAAAATTAAAATATAACAATTTATGAAAAAAAAAAAAATGTTTAACAATAATATTTCATTTTGGTATTGCCTTAAATAATAATTACTTTAATCTTTTTGAAAAGTGGTAAATGTTCAAAAGTGTTTTGTAGATCTTTTTATTATTTTTTGGCTGCATTTTTATTTTTCTTATTTCCATATATACAATTTTGTTATTAAAAATCTTCATCTATTTGTAGACATTTCGTTATTGTTGTAATAATTTAACAAGACTCGGAAAGTAATTAAATGCTAAAAAAAGGTTTCATTTTTAAATATATTACAATTATTAACAATATTATTTAAATTAATGATAATGGACCATCGTCTGCAATGACCTTCAATTTTCTTCTGATTGTCCCATCATCTTTAAGACAACAACAGGATCAATTTCTTGATTTTTTAATACGAAAAAATATGGGGTCACTTTGGAATACTTTTCAAACTGCGCCTGCGTGACAGTTGGCTAACCTAACCTGTTGACACATGTCAAAAATCGATTTAACTTTACATATGTCGTTAAATGTCATCTAACGTAACTGTAAATCAAAAAAATCCCCTTTAAACTATGAAAAAGATGAGCCTAAAAAGAAGACATTGAAACCAAAAGGGCATTAACGTACCTATCCGCTAATTCTAGTCTGATTTGCGTGAAACAAATGGCACTATGAAGGAGACTGGCATATGTTGACATTGAAGAGAAAACAGAAATTCCTTTTCATAATCTAACTTATGACATTTTCCGGAACTGAAGCAGGAAAACTAAACTGTCAAAATTACGAAGAAATTGACACCATACTTCCAGTCTCGATTTTTAGTCGGGATATTGTCTGGACGTCTTATAACATAAACTACTTCCAGGGCTGTATGCTTGTTCGCAACCGACATTGTCGATACAACAAATCCTTTGATTTCGTATTTAAGGAGCCAACATTCCACGACCAGTTTCGCCCAATTTGGGGCTCACCAGGCAGAAGACAAAGTTCTACAAAATTAAAATAAGTAAAATGTTACATTTCATTTTCTACATCTTGATTACACGCCATTTAGTACCAATACAGAAAACTTTATTAAAACATTTTTTATGTAAAATAATAACGGGTTGGTAATTTATAATAAACAACCCTTGTACATACATTAAAAATAAATTAGCTTAAAAGCAAATTCTTGAATGAAATTCAAAAACTTCTAAAACACTAATCTTTTTCTGTTTATTTTGATGATTTGTTAAAGTAACAGGTAACTTACTATTTAAGAATAGCTTTTTACTATTGTAGACTAGCACAAGGACGGTATTGCTTTTCCTAAGATATTAATAAAAAAAAATAATTACTGTATTATGAAACGGAATTGTATCAATTGTTTAATAGTGTGATATTTTTATTGAATGTAATTGAATCTGTAGATTTCTATTTTTTACTATTACTAATTAATTGTAATGCAACCCGAAGAGTTTTGGCACAATTGTTACATAAAAGGCATGACAATATAATATTAATTTTAACGATTATTTATACCAAAATTACCTGCTTATAACAGGATTTTAGTCACCACAATTCTCTATGTAATAACTCAATTGAAATCTTTTTAAAAGTGTTAAAATGAAGTAGTTGGTAGGAGTTTTAGTTTCCTCTCACTGGTAGGACATGACAATTTAATCTCACTGGTCAGGAACAACGAATTTTCTATACCTCTTATAACAACACAATGCGATATGTAGTTATAACAAATAATTCTGAAGAGAGATAGCCAATTATACTATTTCTCATATGGATGGCCTCAAATCAATACCACGTAAGTCAGAAACTGTCATTTTTCAGGAAAGACAAAAAACTTCGTAGTTATACTAAAAATGATAATTAACAAAGCAAAACAGCTAACTAAATATACCTGTGTCCTATACAAAGGTCTAACATGGGATATTTAGAAAAAGTTTTTGATTTTTTGCTCAATTTGACTTGTATTGGAGGTATTGGAGAGAAAAAATAAAGGAGTTACGAGTTATTGTTGTATCTTTTATTTTTAATTTATTCATTTAAAATTTTAATATCTATACAATTATCACAAAATCTCTACACCTATAAGTTTTATATACTTAGCAAAACAAAATAAAATTATTCTTAATGCTGTAAGCTATCGTAAAATAACCAACAGTCTTCAGGCATTACGGGTTTTAATTCTTGAAGATGATTAAATTTAGTTTTTTTTTTTTTTAATTTTTAGCCATTCTTTATGGAGTTTCTTAAAAACGTCTTTACAAACAATCGACTTATTTCGTTTTATTCTTTGCGGCAGTGGTAATTATCATCAAAATTGAGCTTATACAAAATTATTCCTTCAGGTGTATATTTTAGGGCTCTTGTATCAACCAAATTTGGATTTCTGGCCTTTCTTCCCGGTCTTATAGACGATTATATCAAATTATCATTAAAATTGGTAAAAAAATCGTAGCAATTATGTCTTTGTAGAAGTTTAGGTTATCTATTTCTCTCCATTCGCCATATAAAGCTGTCAGTAAATCATTTATATATTTTTTATTTGCATCCGAAATCATGTGTCCCAACTGCTTGTCTTCCAAAACAAAAGAATCAGATCCCCACTGACGACCCCTCTTCAGCAGTGAGATGTATTTTTCATATTCATGCTCGAATCTGAAATTTTCATTTGCTTTGGCTGTAATATTAGTTTTTCCAGACTTTGTTGTGATTCTTTTTTAGTAAATTCTTTTCTTATTGCTTGTATTCTCTATATTCTTTAGATGTGTAGAGATACTTTTGGTGTCTTTCAGTGTCCAATCTGTTCCCAACTGCTTTACAGCTCCAATTTCTTTAAATAGCTCATAATACTCTTCTTTTGTTAACATAGTAGTTTTCTTCCGAAGAATTTTCTCTAACCTTCCAAAAACACGGTCGGCAGGGAGGAAACTATGGCCTCGAACAGGAAATATAATGATGATCTCTTTGATAGGACCTTGGTGGATTGAAAGGAAGTACATTAATGTGTGGATAACAATGTTGTTTTTGTTTTGTCCTCCGCATCCATCACAGAAGAGCTTTAAACCCTTTTTCCATTAAAATCACATGTTTTCAAGAAGTCCAGGAGAGCTGAAGAAACTTCATTTGACCCTCTCCCAGCTTGCTCTTCAGTCCAAGTGTAGAATATTGGATTAGCATTTTTTACATCTGTAATACATAGATTATAGAATGAAAGTTGCCGAGCATAAAATGCTTCTTGAATAGGAGTTTTGGGTAACTGCTGCACTTGTTGCATGTCAAAGCAGTAGATAATGTCTTCTTCATGTTCTTCTTTCATGAGTTAATTAAAAGCTTGAGCTCTTTTTTTATAAATTCTGAGTTGTATTAACAAGTTAACTTTGGCTTCACCAATAGCATTTTTTATGAATCCAATATTAAAGTCCTTGTTGAAGACACGTCGAAACATTGCAAGAGATACACGCAAATCGTTTTCAGTCATGGAATTGTATGCTTTATGAAGTTTCTTGATATTCAGATCACATCTAAGGTACACTCTTTTAGATCTGTTTCTAGAATAGTGGCTCTCATAAGCAGGCAGGGAACCAATATATTGTCTAACAGAATTTTTCTTAGCCTCAGACAAGTGGCTTTTTCTATCACCACCCCTGTTTTTTGTGATGTCCATAACCAAAAATTTTTTGTTTGCAAAGGCTGTGTAAGCGTGTAGATTTCATCTGAACTATGTGAAGAAAAAAATTCTTGCAGACATAAATAGTTTGGCCGTTTCTACGTGGCCGTTTCTACATTGAATAATCTAGGCTTTGCTGCTTTCGTCCGGTTAGGGCGTTACCTACGACGAACCACTTTTGCAAGTATCAGGAAGTTTGAAACCATCCTCTCTTGGCGAATTTTGTCTGGTACACTGTAGATTCTATTACTGAATTCTAAAGCATCAGGTGGAATGATTTTGTTTGATGAGTGCAAGAAATAAAAGTATTCGAAGTTCTAGGTTTAGCATACAATTTCTCTTTCCTCAAAGAACTTCTTCTTTCCTTACTATGTTTCCATCTTTTACCAATACTGATACAGCATTCTTAATGGCCTCCATGGTATTAAAAACTGTAAATTTGACTTCAAGTCTAAAAGTTTTTCAATATTAATTTCTCATTAATTCTTAATAATTAATATTATTAAAAAATGTCACACATCTTATAATTTTTGATACTGAAACTGTCAAACGGATAAAATAATATGAGAAGGTGAAGACAGAAGTCATGTGATTATAATATTCAACGCTCATTAGCTGCTTTGGACATGTTCGTCTTTGATTGAAATTGAGCAGAGGACATGTTTGTCTTTGATCAAAACCTCAATATTTTGAAGGCTAAAACCATGGGACTCGTTCGTAAATGAACGTTTTTGATTTAAAAATTAAATAACATTAAGATGAAACTGCCAACGCGCGTAAAAGTCCGTCAAATTTATATTTTTGTTTTTATTTTCACAAAATGCTTTCGTTTTATTGACTACAAAATGTTTCATATTTTTGGTATAAGCCTGTTTAGTAGTTTCAATTGTGCTATAACCTCTTAAAATGAATTATTCTTGGGCATTGTAAAAATATGAAAATAATTAAAAGTGTAATTTTAATTTTGATTAAAATTGTCGATAATCCTACAAGTCTGTAAACAGCAAAAGGATTTTAACGAAAAATATCAAAAAATAATAATTTAAAAAAATTGAGATTTTGACATTTACATGAAGAATATTGTTCTTTATTTATCAGAATTATGTAATGATTGCTATATTGTATTCTATTAAAATTGAGGTGCTAAAATTTGCATAAAAATTCATTGTTTTATTTTCTCGATTTCTTTTTCTTCATCGCAACTACTTGAAATTATAATTCCTAGGTGTTCAAATTCATGCACTTTATCAAATTTATACTAGGTTCTTTTTGGGATGATTTCTATTTGAGATCTCATCGAGACAAGAGACACTCAAATGTCCATACTCCTAACTAAAAAGACTCCATAAATTTGAAACATGATTGAAGAGGTACGCCAGAATCCATGACTGGTTACTACTGTTTATTGACATAATGTATAATTCATGGCATTTTGAATGTCATCATCTATCTCTAAGGGTGTGTACATGCCAAAGATGCCTCGATGATAGGTGATGGTTAAATGGATATCAATCCATGTAATACAAATGTATGGTGTGAGGGTGTGCTAAACTATGGTATGTGGCTAATTCTCAAAAAAAGTCGAAAATGGTTTTAAAAAACTTGTCAAATTAGTTTTAACAACAAATCTTTTCTTCAACCGTCCGATCTAGTGTGACCAATGTTGCCAACTACAAAAAAAAATTTGTAGAGGGGCTTGGTAGGCCTTTTAATTTCGCTCCAATCACATTGTTTCAAAACGGTGAGAAATGATAGATTTTTCAACGACAAATTTTGAATTTAAAAATATTTCCATTCGCATTTTTTAAACTATGAACTCATGTAGGTACAGTCAATACTATCCTATATAAGTAAAAAATAAGATAACAAACAATTAGTAAGGAATTTTCTGTTTTAAGTTAATAATTATCTTCGAATTTAGAAGTTGGGACATAGTGAGGGAATGATTTTCAGGGTACTTTCTTAGACATATCTTTTTTGTTTATCATATAGGAAATAAATTTATTTAATAAATTCATACATCTAGTACAGTACTTTTATAAAAAAAAAACTTTTCCTAATTGACGATCCTGGTTTATAGAAATCATTAAGGACATCAATTTCGATTTTTTTAAAAAGTCAGCCATGTACATTCTTATTTAAATTAGTACAGTTATTACATCGCCTATCGATCATCGAGGCATCTTCGGCATGTACACACCCTATTGAATTAACTCACCGATATTTGTAGAATAAAAAGTGTTACGTAAAGACTATATTTATTTCGAAAAATAATAGATATTCGCTAGTTGCGTAATATCGAGAACAATTTAAAATTGTTTTCTTGAAAACGTAAAAAAAAACTTTTTTGAGATTGTAGTTTTATTTACATACGTCATAAGTAAAATATAATTTTTTGGTAATCAATTATTGTTTCATCACATACATGAAAAAATCGTATTATAATTAATTGGTTTTGGTACTGAAATAAAAAAAAAATAGATGGACTTGACAAAATTCTTGTATAGGATTGCTTCAATTAACTCTCCCTTAATGCTTATTAAATATTTTTATAATGCTAAATTTCACTGCCAAAACAATAGTACAATTAACTCTTTTAATTATTTACTGCATGGAATATAATTCCTGTAATTTATGTAACATGTGAATTTGAATGTTTCAGAGTTATTTTGTAAATATTCTATAATTTATTCTTTTTGTAATCTTATTTTTTGACAAATAATATCGCCACATAACTAACTGCATTTTATTTATCCATGTCCTGATCTAAAACTGATGAATTCCTATTTTATGTAAAAAAAATAAATGTTTTAGCTCCAACACATTATATTCAGAGTGATCCATAACTATTGGGACATAGGCTAAGGGCAGGTTATTTGGACCAAAATATACCTTAATAAAATATTGCTGTGGAATAAGATACAGGGCGTTAAATAATAATAGTAATACTAGTGCATATGTCATTTCTTGTCAGTGAAATATTTTTTCTGTGAAATTATAGTCTATTATTATATTATTTTTTTTTGTGTGTCATCGGCTTCAACTGCTAAGGTTATTCCGCCTCGTGTTCTGTGTAGGCTTTGTTACTGTTTCCCAGCGCCACTTTAGGAACATCACTGTTAATTAGAACCCAACAGTGAAGGTCGAGTGGAGAATCCTACCAGGGCATCAGAATTAATTTTATTTATTTAAAATTAATTCTGATGCCAGAATTAATTTTATTTGCTTCCCCTACCATAACTTTAAGCGAATAGAATATCAGCACTATTGACTTACAAATGCTGCTATGCAAAAAAGGATCAAATGTGACCCGTCCTGTAAAACTAACGATTCATAATAATTAATTATTCTAAATTTAAATCAAGACTTACCTTTTGAAGCCACATTCCACCTAAAACAATATACAAGAAAAAATGTTAATAAAAATATAAATGAATCATAAATCCAGTAAAATATTAAGTTATGTTGTAATTATTTATTGCTCACCATTTGAAGCTGCTCATCATTCCTTCTTCTTTCTCTGTTACATTTGTTCCAAAATGTCTTACAGTTTCTTCATAATATCCATTATTTCCAATAGAATCGCGTCCGGACAAATCTTCTGTACCCGACTACATAAACGTCTTTATTGTTAAAGGTGAAATAAACATGAACTCAGATCGTTAATATCGTACTACCGATTAGCTGTCGAGAAATTTACGGCGATTTAAATTTGTTTTAACGGAGATTCGCTGAAAAGAAAAACAACAATTGATTTGAAAGTTAGAAAATAGTAATAATAATTATCGTGCAAGCTTTTTTCCCTCTTTGCCTTATTTAGACCTCTTACGGCCTCCACTTTAATGATTATCAAGAACATTCGATAAACTGGGTAAACCACCGAACTCTCCGTACAAAATTTTTGAGTCATACTACATATGGTAGTTTATCGAAAATAAATGTACTTTTTTAAATTAAATATTATCCAATTTTGCTTTCTTTTTGATGTACAGGGTTCAGGTATTCAGAAACGTTCAAAATTATCAATTTAAATTTTTTTCCACGAAAATTAAAAATACGAAACAATTTGAAGAGAAATAATTCTATATTTAGTAAGTTTATTTAAAAAATAAAAAATTTAAAAAATCTACTGGGTGAATTTTTTTGTGCCGAAACCTAATCAAAGTTATCTGTGAGTACGCCTCTGGAATTACTGAATCAACTGTAACACATCCGCAAGGCACCTCTTAAAGTTGTCAGCAGACTGGCAATTTCATTAAAATCGGTCAAAGAATTTTTTAGATATTAATAAAAAAACTATTAAAAAAGATTAACGCTGACGCTCTGTAAAACAAGAAGGACTATGTTTTACCGGACACACTACCTTTATTTTTCGATAAACTGTCAGTTGATAAAATCCTGAGGATATGAACTTTAAAAATACCCCGTATATGCTCTGAAGTCACAATTACATAGAATCATTTTAATGTCGTCATTAAAAATCAGTAATAATTAAATTACATCATTGAAGATCATATTAAATTTAAAAAAAAATGCTAAATTAATTTTTTTTTTTAATTTGGTGTCATCGGCGTAGACTGTGTAGGCTTTGTTACTGTTTCCCAGCGCCACTTTAGGAACAGCACTGTTAATTAGATCCCAACAGTGAATGGTCGAGTGGGGAATCCTACCAAGGCATCAGAATTAATTTTAAATAATTAAATTAAATGAAAAAATCCCGGCCAACGGTGGGATTCGATCCTGAGACCTTCCGATCTCAAAGTCATGACTATAACCACTGCGAGTCAACCCACCCCCCACTAAATTTAATTAAATTTATTTTTATTCCCGTTCTAAGTTACGCCCATGCCTGGTCGTTCCTAAGTTACGTCAGACATGCACAACCGATAATGTTTTACAATTTAGAGTAAGCACAATCTTGTTGGCGTCATTCAAATCTATTAAAATATAATAGAAAATTGAATACCTGCCTCGAACAATTTTGTAATCAACAATATTTTAGATACTGAAGCATGGAATAAGGTTTTTAGCATAGTAACATTTTTACCGCAATTTCTCTTAAGTCTAGTTTCGGCCAGAAAAAGAATTTAACAACAAGAGTTGTGTCTTAAACTCTTAAAATTTTTAGTTGAAATTGTATTATTTTTAAAACTAGCTGGCTCTGCAAAAAAGTATAAAACCCATAGCAAAAATGTTCTTTTTTTGTTAATTCAAAATATGTGAATTTTGATAAACACGTTTTTTTTTAATCAAATAAATTAAAATGAATATATTAGAAACAAAAAAGCAAGAATATTTTCTCATCAAACATTAAAAAGAAAAGTGGTTTTATCATACAACAAAAAATCAAAGCCAAAGCACAGGCCAAAGCGTCATTGTCTAGATTTCGATATTCAGAAAAGAGATTTTCGTTTTTCAAATAATATATGCAACTTACCTAATAGTTGTATTAAATCTGATTCTTCATTTTTCTCACACAAAAACACAAATAAGAATGTTTTATTTCTTAAAAAAAATTTTTTCACTTTTACACTCAGCAGCCATTTTATGTCAAAGTAATTTTCTCGTATTTTAAATATACAAAACCATAGCCTACTTAATTACTTTTTGCTCTGCCTAATAAAAGCCTTGTTCAGAGTAAGAGCGCCGCGCGATGACATAGCGTTGCGTCTAGCGACGCGTCGATAAGGCCTCTTATATGCACGCGTTTTTTATCGCTTATCGCGCAAAAAAAAATCGTGGCGTTTTATAAATACAGTTTCTAGGGTTTGTACAGAAACAAAACTGGTTATCTGCTTGCCGGTAGACGTTGGTTCCAGAACTCTGTTCTGGTTTTGAGAAATAACGACCCAAAACTGTCGGGCTCATGCGCAGTAGATAAAAAGCGTTCTGGTTTTTCTCGGACTACTTGGGCATTTGGACTCTCTTATTTCAATACAACACGTAATGAGACGACTATCTCCGTTCCACAGAATTCGATTTTTATGTATAATGTCTCTCTCTATTTGATTCGTTACGTGTTGAGTTTGCACATGAGAATCCCTGTCCGGATCTCCCAGTCCAGTGTTCTGGTTTCGTAACCGAAATAATCAGTGAATCAGTAAATAGTCAAAATGTGTTCATGCTTCGGATAGTGGATCGACTCGGACTGTTTTGACCGCGCATGTGTTTTTAAAGTGTTATGAATATGTTATTAGATTTTAAGCTCATACAGAACGTATTCAATCCCAAATTGTTTTTTTATGTGTGGATGAATGTCTCTTGTTCTTGTTTTATTTGTAAATTGAGGCAATTTTAGAATTAATAATTTTTTAATATTATTCTCCCGTTTTTTTTATTCTATTGAAATATGTGATGAGGATGATAAATGATAAACATATTCATGCAAATGTTATTTCAAGCTGAGCTTTAAACAGGAACTGCACTATTATAATAAACAAAACACCTTCATATGTGTTTTGCCTTTACGCACACGGTCCGGCGCTGTTTCAGAACCGTTTTCAATTTGAGAACCAGAACAAATCTACAGAAAGGAAATAAAGGAATCTACTTCTGCTAGTTGTTAGTCGAGACTTGTGTAAAAATGTTCTTCACCGACGAAGATATTTTATATTAAATTAACCATTTTTACTTTCATATCTGTATGCAGATAAGGAAAGTATAGGAATCATGATTTCGACCTAGAGTTTTTGATGCATTTTAGGTTTTGGGGTCCCCTGAACCCGTTTTGACTATGTTCGCGATGTGTGTGTGTCTGTATACTCAATAACTCATGAACGGATACAGAAAAAAACAGCAAATTTTAAACTTAAGCTTAATTCCAGCCTGCGGTGAACTGACTAGATTTTGGGCGAAGTCTAAACATCTAAGGGGTACTTTATGGGGGTTGTAGGAATTTTGACAATAAATATATGACGACACATTTCTAATGAGCAACCCGGGTATCCCGTTTCGCAACATTCGCGCGTCACAATTATTTTGGGACGCAAGAATACGGTCGCTAGGCAAGTTGTTGTTTGGGCAGAAGTCAACGAAAACAAAGTCATTCTTTTAATCTCAATATTTTATATTCAAAACCTTGTATTAAATAATAGAAAGAATAGTTGTTAATGTGTTCCTGTTCCTGTTCATGGTAATAAACGAATACAAAAGTTCGCAGTTTTATTTTATTGACGCAGCTAAAGTTAAACCAAAACCGAGCTGTGGCCAGTTTAAGAACTGGCACTCGTGATGAGGATGTAGCCAGCAGCATCATCCCCAGTCAGGGGTCATTTTTATACTTTATGGAATATATGTTATTTACGTTTGGAGAATAAAAAACTTCAAATAAAAGTTATTTCTAATAGTATTCTCAATAATATTTGTTCTATACAAAATTTTCCTAAAATGGTCCGTATGCGAGAAATTTGATAAAATATAAAAAAAATCAAATTTTTAAGAAAATTGTTCCAATAAAAGTTGTTTGTTTGTAATATTATTCTCTATAATTCTTGCCCTACATATAATTTCTCTAAAATGGACGGTATTTGAGAAAAAGTGTAAATTACAAATTATGAAGAAAACTCAAAAACGGATAAAGAGAAATACATCAAATTTTAAAATTAAGCTTTATTCCGACCTAGGGTGAACTGATTAGATTTTGGGCAGAGTCGGAACATATAGGGGGTCGTTTTTATATTTCATATAACTGTTAGTTACAATTGGAAAAGAAAATTTTTCAAATAAAAGTTACTTCTAATAATTTTTGCTCCACACAAAATTTTCCTAAAATGGTCTCCGTATTCGAGAAATTTTACAAAATGTAAAAATTCAAATTTTTAAGAAAATTGTTCAAATAAACGTGGTTTGTTATATTTTTTTTTTTACTTCTTGTTACATACCTAATTTCTGTAAAATGGACCGTATTGGAGATATTAGAGAAAATGTGTAAGTTTCGAAGTTTGAAAAAACTCAAAAACGGATAAAGAGAAAAACTCAAAATTTTATAAACTTAACCTTTAATCTTGCCTGCGGTGAACTGATTAGATTTTTGGCAGAGTCGGAACATCTGGGGGGTACTTTATAGGGAATAATTTTTATATTTCATGGAATATAACTGTTATTTAGGTTTAGAGAAAAAATTATTTAAATAAAAGTTACTTCTAATATTATTCTCTATAATTTTTGTTTTTACATAATTTCTCTAAAATGAACCGTAATAGAAAAATTTGAGGAAAAGTGTAAAATTTAAATTTTTCAGTATTTTCGTTGGCAATGAGTATTTATAAAAAAATGTTTCGAGTAATATATATGTAGAACATGTATATATTTAGTTTATCTTACAGAGGTGATACACTATAGGTTGTAGAAAATAACCGGAAAAAGCCTGTTATAACTAGATAGGACACATATCAGATTTTAGAAGTTAAGAAGCCAAAAAATAAGTATACATTCGATTAATCAAAAAGAAGAAAATATGGCAAATATAACACCTTTTTAATTTTATATCGAAATAATATTCATTATCTTAATAAAAAAAAATTGTAACAACTTACTCTCTTGCACGTATGTTCATTTCCTCTAGAATATTTCTATTACTGTGACTTCTATATTTTACCAAAGAGTACAAAATATAACTATAAAAGAGGAGTCACTCGCCCAATTACCGCCTTCTAACGCGATCAGCCGCCAGTCCTCCACAGTCCTTTCTCGATCGGCAGTATTCCGTTGTAGTTCAACGCGTAAGGCTCGTTTGCTCCGCTACGTTAGATTCCGCTGTGTATTGACCGTTACATTCCACTATCATCGCCGCCGCGTCTTACCGCTTAACCCCCTTATAGCCCAATTAGCTATGTACTCTTTGAAAAAACGGCAACTTGTCGGCCCGCATTTGAAGCGCGATTTCCTTTGTAAATGCCGCGAGTGACTTCTCTTTTATATTTTGTACTCTTTGATTTTACCCAAGATTGGAATTTGCAGCAGCAATTTATGCCTCGTTATCCATGTCTGCAGTTTCTGTCTGATCGCTTATAATGAAGTTTATATTCTGGCAAAATAACCGTCGCTTCAATCTGCTTTCTTTTCGCACACTCCCGCTTAACAAAAATGATAAATTATGCGCCGACCACCAGTAAGCAGGTAACCCGCTTTCTTTCTGTCCGTACCTCAATGCGTGCGCTTTTATTCGTTGATGTCGATTAGCCGCTCGCCGTCTGGGTCGCTTCGTTCTTAAATTATGTCGCTTGGAAATATAAAGTGCGTCACGAAAGGCGTTTCAAAAGTACGTTGATTTTATTCTGCGCGTTTATCGCTGCTGCCGAATGAATTAATTTACTGTCTAGGTTATTTTACGAGCCTGCAGAGTTGTGTCGAGGTTTGAAAAACTATGGAAAATCTCGATGCTAAAATTGTTATCGGCAAGAGTTTAAAATAATTTGTTGACAAGTAAGCCCCCTTTTCATGGAGGCTCTTGCTACAAATTGCACCAGTTACATATTATCACTCGTAAAAGAGCTCAAATACAAAATGTAGCTTTGACAGCTCAGGTAATGTCAAACTCTACTAGTACATCTTTAAAACGCTATTTGCCTGGACCAAATAAGCAGCTTGCCAAGGACATTGGTGAATTTTTGGAACTTATTGGTTACTTATGGTTGCAGTACAGCGAACACTCAGTAAGACGATGCCATGAGAATGCAAGCTCGCGGGTACAATATTTATCCGCTAAATTTAAAATTTACAGTTTACTACATTGATTCGTTAAAAATCTAGATAGATGTCTTGAGAGTCTGATAATTTTTACTTTCATTAATTGACGTTATATCCTTAAAATTTTTTAAACTGTTTGTGCTTGTAAAAACTATTTTGTGTTGTTTAGTTAATAATTGTCTTACATGTGTTTTAATTAATTTATTCAAACAGACATCTCGCGGTTTAACCTAACCTACAATATTTTAAAAAAAAATACTATTGTATTACATATTACTTTTTTAACTCGTTTTGTTAAACTTTATGTAGCGCTTCCTTTATGGAAATAGTCAAGGTTATTGTTTAACTTCTTTTGTTTGTTCTGTTATCTTGTATATGTTAAAGTCCGTTCATGCTTTTATAATTGTTTTTATTACAACTGACTCCTTGACATTCCATTTAGGTGTGCCTGATGATGAAGTGACAGCTTCGAAACCGATGGCCAATTAAATTGACTTGTGAGAAATAAAGGACCTTTTCTTTAACCCCTACTCCTCACATATGGCTACCCTCACTCCAAAACAATGAGATAGATTAGTTACTTTCACTACTGTCTTTTTTATATATCAAGCATTTTCTATTTATTTCTACCGAAAATAAATATTTCTTTTATAAGAGTATCTGTTTTTTTTTTGTAGTAAATATTGTATATATTTTTGTTAGAACAATGATATATGCCACAGGATCAGTTAGGACTTTTAGTGGAATAAGGTTAGAAGCCACATGTTTTTCACTAAAAATCAAAATATTCTTTTCAAATTAGTTTTTTTTTTTAATATAACATTTGCATTATATAGAGCTATAAACAAAAAGTTCTTAGAATCCTACAAAATTCAGACTTTCACCTAAATATTCAAAACTTAATTTTCCATGAATTAACAATTTGTTGCTTACATCCTTATTATCCCGAGCCCTTCAATTGAAGCGTCTCTTAAGGAATGTTTTTCCCGGAAAAGCATTCGACCCAAATTTTTCCATAATTTTTCTGGGAAATGTGTCAGAGGCATCGGGAAAATTTTGATCTCAGATTATGAAGAACTTCGAGTAGCATACTGGATTTTTTTGTATTTTCGGAAAATTTGTCGGAAAATTCACAAAAAAAATTTTTTTTTCGTTTTTCTTCAAACGAAAGGAAATTTCCCGAAACAGATAAATCCGCTGTCCAAAAAACGGTTGTCAACCGGAAAATTGATGGAAAACCACTTTCTCAAAAAAAAAATTCCGACTTAATTCGACAGAGAACAGTTCAATGTTTTCATATTAGCGAAATTACAGCGATATCGAATGAATGTTGGCTTCATAAAAATAGAGCTTATTAATGAACTAACAAGCTATAATAAGAAAACCACTCAACAACAACAACAAGTGGTTGAGAATAATTTATAATATGCATAATACTTATGTAAGCTATAAGTTATGCAACTAACAATACGAATCTAATGTTACATAGATATACAATACTTAAAATTAAATATTGACGAAAAAATTAAATCAAGCTGTGCTCCAAAATATTCGAAGAATAACGAAACTGCAAGTGAAGTAGTTTTATTAACTAATGGAAACTTATTATAACATCGTAATACAGTTTAAAAAATGTAAAGTAAAAAGAATGCACAAAAAGTTAAAAAGATTGAGCAGCCATGTCATCTGCGCAAATTCCTAATAGTGCCAGATCATCATCGGGCGGTAACGGTGGTGGTTGCAAAGGCATTGAATGAGAATGCGGTGGTGGTGGAGGAGGGCTAATCATCTTTTCTTCTTGATAGTGATAGTTGTTATGTATGTAATTGTTACCGTAATTCTGGTAATATTGGCCCATCATACTGGTATCAACTTCTTGTGAACCATAAAGTACCTGGAAAGTTAAAAAAAAAATTAGATTAACCCCCAAACAACTAGCCTGGCAAGTGGAGAGATAATGAAGGAACATTTATTAATGTAGAAGTGAAGTATAATAGAACAACAGTTGTTAATTAGGCTGATATTTTTATGCCATCAGGAATAAAAATTCAAAGGTCAAAATTATTTAAGCTGTATTTTTTAATTTACAGTTTCTGAGGAATAATTAATGTTCACTTGTGTCATTGTTCTTCCAGATAAGTGATTTGTCTCCTTCAACTTTTAAAATTTAAATAAAATTAACTTACTTCATCATCGCTCAAGTTTTGAGGTTCTGCTTTTTTATTCAACTTCGGTGGTGGCGGGGCTTTCGGCAAATGTTTATCTTCGATTATACTTATCTTCGGCGCCTCTGGTACCGGAACTCTCTCAATAACAACTGGAGCCGGTGGAGGAATGTTCAATGGTGGAATCGATGACAGCTTAGGGAAACAAACGACATCCGGTTTCGGCATGAACGCTTTCGGTAAATTTCCTGGTTCGAATCGCGTTCTTCTCGGTTGGTCGTAACTTTCTTTTTTAAGTTCTTTCACTTCGTCTTTTTCATCCTATTGGAACGAATACTCAATATTTATTCTTCGTATGGAGTGTTTAATAAATACATTAGAGGCTAGGATAATTAAGCACTTGGAAACTACCCTATATTGTGATCTACTTAAATGATAAATAGAATCGATTGTAAAATAGTCGATAGTAAAATAAATCGATTTTAAAATGTGTCGATTGTAACGAAATAGATTGCAAAAAGGAATAGATTGTAAAAATTAATTAGGAAAAATTCAGGATTAAAAAAAAAGACGAGTCAATTATAAACCGTATCGACTGTTAAAAGCGGAAATCTAAAAAAAAATAATGGAATATAAACAGTATCAATTGTAAACAATATGAATTGTAAAAAGTAACAATTTTAAAATCGATTAAATAAGTAATAATCATAAGAAAATCGATAGTAAAAAGTGTAGAAAAATATTCCATTGTAAAGATTGTGTAAAAAATTGGTTATACAGTTAATTGATTTGAAAAAATATCGAAATAAAAATGAATCGATTGTAAACTGTATCGGCTGTAAAAAGGTAGATCTTAAAAATAATCGATTTTAAAAAAGACTTGGTGTAAACGGTATTAATTGTTAACAATATCAATCAATATCAAAGTATCAATTATAAAAACCGATTGTAAAAAATTCATTAAGAAAAAGGAATAAAAAAAAAAAACAATCAATTGTAAAAAGAATCGTTTAAATTAGTATTATTAATAAAAAAAAGAATTGATTGTAAAAAGAATCAACTGTAACAAGTATTGAATGTAAAAAATCGACCTTAAAAAGTTAAAATGGTGTTAGGTTAGGCCTTTGAGGGAAAACAAATGAGTATTAATAATTAAAAGAATCGATAGTAAAAAGAGCAGAAAAATATTCCATTGTAAAGGAATATATTGGGTAAAAAAAAAAGGTTGTAAAATTAATTAGTTTGATAAAACAACGTAAAAAGAATCGATGGGAAAAATCGATTGTAAAAAATTCATTAAAAAATCGATTGAAAAAGTATTAAAGTAAAAAAGAATCGATAGTAAATCCTATCGACTGTAAAAAGTCTTCTAAAAAATAAATCGATTGTAAAACAGTAAAAAGAATCGATCATAAAAATTTTATTGTGAAAATAGATTGTAAAAAGAATGGTTTAAATGAGTGTTGATAAAAAACAATCAATTGTATAGAGTAAAAAAAATCAAATGTAAAAAGAATCGCTTAAATGAGCATTCATAAAAAAGAATTGATTGCAAAAAATAATCGATTGTAAAAAGAATCGTTTAAATGAGTATCAATAATAAAAACAATCGATTGTAAAAGGTGTAAAAATCGACTGTAAAAATTGTGAAAATTTAATTACAAAAATCGATTAAAAAATAAAAGTAAAAATAATCGATTGTAGTAAACTGTATCGCCTGTAAAAAGCGTAGATATAAAAAATAATCAATAATTGTAAAAAATATCATAAGTATTATATACAGAAAATCGACTGTAAAATGAATCGTTTAAATGAGTATTAAAAAAAAGAATGGATTGTAAAAAAATTGGTTGTAAAATTGATTGATTGAAAATCGATTGTAACCCGTATCGACTGTAAAAATCGTAGATATAAAAATTAATCGATTGTAAATAATATAGACTGTAAGAGGTATCAATTGTAAAAAGAATCCCGGTAAAAATCGACTGCGAAAATTTCATTACAAACAATATTAAAGTAAGAAAGAATCGATTGTAAACCGTATCGACTGAAAAAAGCATAGATATAAAAAATATTCTATTGTAAACAATATGGATAGTAGAAAGAAATCAAAAAATCCGTTTAAAAAAATTCATTGTGAAAACTATATAGAGAAAATTGACTAAAAAGAATCGTTTAAACGAGTATTAATAAAAAACAATTGATTATAAAAAGTGTAAAAAATCGACTGTAAAAAGAATCTGTTAAATGATTATTAATAAAAAAGAATCGATTGTAAAAAAATAAACTGTAAAGAATCTATGCGCTAGTTCAGTGTGATGTCATTTTGGTTCCACTGACATTTAATTCTAACCAAACTTTTAACAAAAACATCAATAAATCTGACATATACGTTTTTACTGTTTTAAGTTTATTTCTAAATATTGTTTACAGGTCATAAAAAATAGTTGAAAGGTATGTAATTGGTAACTAAACGATTGTATATTTGATACATACTATCTACTTACTTTAGGAATATATCTATAAAAGTGAACAAACGATATAATTTAGGTAAACAATACGAACAAAACGCACTCAAAAAATCTACTGTCACTTTAATTGTCAGTGGAACCATAATTACATCATCACTGAACTAGCGCATTGTAACAAGTATTGAATATAAAAAATCGACAGTAAAACAATGAGGCGCGGTTATGCCTTTATGGGAAAACAAATGAGTATTAATAATAAAAATAATCGATTGTAAAAGTGCAAAAAAATCGAAAGTAAAAAAAAATCGTTTAAATGAGCATTAATAAAAAGAATAGACTGTAAAAATCGTTTAAATGAGTATTAACAAAAAAAAATCGATTGTAAAAATAATCACCTGTAAATAATCGATTGTAATAAGTAAAGACCGGACAATTTAATTTATTCTTATCAGCGAAGTAACGGTAAGAGCGGACCTTCGATTTGAATAATACATTCTGAATAAAACAAGTTATTTACTGAACTGGTCGACACAGTAGATAAGATATTGGATTTTTATCGCCCGGGCGTAACATTTGGGGCGGGCTTATTATTACATTTACATTGCAATAATTATTTTATTAAATTTTAGTTCAAATTTGGTTGGATATTATTATATAATTACAAATGATATTATTATTTATTTTTTTATTGTGTTGTGGGATAATGTTGTTGGCTTTTTCTGTTAATATATTATTGACTAATAAATATATCAACGAGGATACACCATCATTAGTTTTATGTTTAGAGTGTTCCAATATACACTCTTTATCCTAAAGTAGCAAATATACAATTATATACAATATATACAATACAAATTAATATCAATCTTCTTCATTTGAAAAATATGTTTGTATGACTGCATATTTTTCTAAATTGTCTTCAGTGAAATTACTTCTTTTAGAAGTCAATAAATCTTTAAACCTAGAAAACGATCGTTCTACGTCACAACTCGTTACAGGAGCAAATGAAAAATGTGGAACAAAATCACAATATTTTAAAGCAGTTTCATAATCGTTAAAATTGTTCAGGGAGATTTGTTTCAGAGTCTGTAAATTTGGATTTCTTTTAATAACACAATCTATTTTATGGTTAAATTTATCTTGTAAGGGCCACTTTACGTTTTTTAAGTGTAACAATGTCGATTCAAATTTTTCCATAGCAACCGATAATTGTAAGTTACGGGTTTCAAGGAATTTTATAGTTTCTGGGAGACACGAAAAATAAGTCGCAAGAAAATTTAACTCCGACTGCAAAGTTGTTTTTGTTATTAAACCTTTACACTGAGTGATAGAGAGAGCGTCCTCTGATAAGTTGGAAATAAATACTTTTAGTCTGTCGAAATGCTCCGAAAAAAAGAACACAGCCTGTAACCAAGTTCCCCATCGTGTAATAACTGGTTGTGGAGGTAGGGGGATATTCGGACATATTTCTTTATATAAAGAAACTCGGGACGGTGCTTTTAACAAAATTTTTTTAAAACAGCTAATCAACGAATTAATGTCTGGAAAGCTGTCACGGATAAACTCACAAACTCGGTGTAACGCGTGAGCAAGGCAAGTTACATGCAGCATGTTTGGAAAATGTTCTTGTAATAGTTTCCCTGTTTTCAACATTACACTTGCCGCGTCTGAAATAAACAATAAAACTTTTGAAACGTCATTATCAATTACATTGTTCAATCCACGTTTCACTATTTCATAAATCATTTCAGCGTTCACAGTTTCACGAAACACACTAGAAACTAAATACTGTTGTGAAGTATTTTCAGCACTTAATAATCCTACAACAACATTAACAACACATCTACCCTTTATGTCAGTCGTTTCATCTGCACTAACCCAAATATATTTGCTGGAAATTTTCGTTTTTATTGCCGTCATTGCTTTATCGTACTGATTTTGAATATAATGTTTTCTAATTGTGGATTCATCCGGTATTTTACGTTTAGTATATTTACAAAGAAAATTTTTGAAAATTGTATTATTTAATTTTGTTAATGGAATATTTGCAGAAACAAATGCGTTGCATAAATCTTCATAAAAGATTTTGTCTGGACATCCCTCTAAAGATTGCATGTGTTTTTGTGTTTTCACATGTTGTGTCATACTTGACTTTCCATTAAAAACTAACACCTGATCACAATTGCGGCAGTATAATTTGTTGTCATTAAAACGACGAAAACAATCAAAGTCCGATAATAAATTTTCCATATTTACGTTTCCAGTTTCTATCACTTTTCCCTTTGAACTAAACAAATATACTCATTGGAAAAATCTAGTGATATTTTTACAAGACACTTTCTTCTCAAATCTCCTGTTTATCGACTCTTTGTTATCTTTTTACATTTTTTCAACCAACAGATACCTATATAGAGTGAGCAATTGAATTAATACATACATTACAGAAATTTAACAGACATTTATTTTATTGTCTCATCGTGTATAAGTACCATAATATCCACAGGAAATAAAAACATAAATGTTTTGTTACAAAAAATCGGTATGTACGGTATCGATAAAAGCCAAAATATTCATAAATATAATATAAGGATTGACTTTATTTGAATAAAAATATCACCGGCAACTAACCGACAATGGATCGAGAAAGTATAAGACAACATATGATGGGCCTATTTGACATTCATTTTAGGCCCTCTCTACAGCGTCTTAGTCCAAACGCTCGTAGAGTCCTAATATTTGGCCCCGATGCAATTTCTCCAACAATGAATCGGGACCAGCTAAGGCTAGAAATTTCCAATTTTCTGGAGGAAATAACAAATTCGGGGGAGGCAGCTGGGGTCCTCGATCCTCATTTTAGGCAGGAGAGTAGTGTACCACGCCAAAATATTGAGGAATAGATATTTTGTAATTATATAAGAGATAATAATAAAAAAAATATCATACAGAATATCGTTTACATTACTACACCTTAAACTCGCTTATGAAAAGTTTAACATCTTCATCAAAAAAGTTATTTTTTTTTAAGGAAAATTTCTCAGGCCACAAATTAAAGGATCTGAGGTTACTAAAAACTTTTGTAAAATATCCTACATATCCTCGGCGTTGGTGAGAAGAAAACATTAAATTTGTTTAATGAAAATGATTCAAAAGACAAAGAATATAGGTACACGATAAAAAAAAATCTCACTTTTTTGTATTAGTTTTAATGTCTATGTATATATCAGTACACTTTTTTTATCTTGTTTTAATAAAAAAAAGAGGTTTGTCCTGATAGTATTAGAATCTGCCGCACTGTCTGCCGTCTTAAATAGCGAACCCAGAATGAGACGCCTATGTGATTAAAACCAATTATTTGAACGCGATTAAAATGTCCGGTCTTTAGTAATAAGTATTGAATATAAAAATTGACAGTAAATAATCGATTGTAATAAGTATTGAATATAAAAATCGAAAGTAAAAAGATGTTAGATTAGACCTTTAAGGGAAAACCCGTAAGTAACTAGATATTATAGAGTTTATGGAGAGGAGACATTTAATAGAAATGGACTCAAGACAGTAGACTTTTGTAACAGAAATTAAAATTGGGAGGATAAATATATAATAAAGCGGAGAAATTTGTATTATTTTAAGGAACGCGCATTCTTAAAACATTTACTACCTATTTTCAATAGAAGAAAGACATTTGAAGCAAAACTTACTTGAAGTTTTGCTTTGTTTTTGAAGAGCGGCATTCGTCCAATAAACGGCAACTTTTTGTAACTCGGCGGACCTGGAGGTTTTTTCTTCTCGTTTTCTTGCCTTTCGTGTTTTCGATCCGCTCCTCTAGGAGGACTTCTACTTCGACTTCTAGAATGACGGTTTCGATATGAACCGTCTCTTTCAGACTCTCTCCTGTGACTATACAATTAAACATCGAGTAATTTTTGATGTATTTTAATAAGGTGATTTAAATAAACTCCAAACAAATAAATAGAAGAAAAAAAATATTAATGTACCTGTCCCGTTTGTTGTAATATCTATCTTCATTCTTGTTATCTTCTTCATCGCTACCCGAATATGACCGTCTCTTCCTGTAGGTATTTGCTCTGAATCGAACCTGATTGCGTTCTTTATCCTTAGTCCTATCCATTTCCTCATGTTCTCTCAAATTTCTTTTCTGCTCTTCCTCTTCGGCAGCTTCTCTTTCTTCGCGTTTCTTTCTTTCTAACCGTTCTTCATCTTCACGTTCCCTTTCGCGTCTGTGCTTCTCTAATTCTTGCATTCGAGTACGTTCAATCTCTTGCTTTTGGCGCATTCGGTCTTTCAGAGATTCCAGCATCATTTTTTCCTATAAAGTTGTAAAATAAATAATTACGTAGATAAAGGAAAACACAAAGTCTGTTAATCACTGGGAACTTTTTGTTTTAAAATATTGTAAACCTTTTGGCCTCATAAGGTCATCTTCAGGCAAATAATAAAAATAAATAAAAAATCTGCAATAGTTTTGGCCCGTATTTATAAACTAAGTCAAACTTGGCTGAGACGCCCTTGAACGAAATTCATTTATATCTGTTTATAAATACAAGCCTAAATTATAATAATAATAATAAATATATTTTATTTTAAGGAAATTACAATATACACATATACTTGTACATAGTGTAAAATTAGTGGAACAATCGTCACCCAAAAAAAGATTATATTACAGATGACATTTACATTTGGTATTATATATATAGTCATTAACATAGTAAGGCTCTATTGTTACTAAAAATTTATGGGGTAGTTGTAGCAAAGATTTCTTGTGGTATATTTATTCTGGAGTTTAAATATTTTAAATATATTTCTATTCTTAAAGAAGTATAACAAGCACTCCTATACAAATATTCCATAAAAGGTGAGTAAATTAAATCTCCTAAACTGCCCGTTACAAGATTCATTGAATTTTAAGTCTGCTACGATTCTTTATACTCTTTTTTGAGTTACAAACACCTGATTTGAATTTCTGCTGTACCCATAAAATATAATCCCATATCTAATAGGGGACTCAATGGTAAAATGGTATACTATTTTCATCGTTTCTCGTAATTTGATAATACTCTTAATTTATAACATTCAGAGTACAACTTTGTTATTACTGAAATAACCTGGACGTCTCAATCTATTATCCATTATCAAGCTGCATTCCCAGAAACTTCACATTTTTGTTTATTATTATGGTGCCTTGTTGTAGATTAATATTATCAGGTAAGTAATGACAATGTAATTTGTTGTTATAAACATTAAATTAGTCTTATCCTCATTTAGTATAAGATTGTTCATTTTCAACCATTGGCTTGAATTGACTAATACCTTATTAACAGTTTCAATCATTTCAGGAAAGCACGGTCCTGCGAATGCTGTGAGTAATGCCATGACTTAGGTCATTAGTATAAATGATGAATAGGCATAAAAAGCTTCCCTGTGGTACTCCAACAGTTGCTTCACTACGTGTGATTCCCCTTTAATGTTATTTTTTGTACCTACCGCTTTTTGTTTCCTATTTTTTAGGTACGATGTAATCCAGTTCAAAACGGGTCCTCTGACTCCGTACCTTTCCAAATTTGTCAGAAGAATACTGTGGTTCACACAGTCATATGCCTTCGATAAGTCTAGAAAAATACCCATAGCTAGTTTGTTACTTTCTAATGCATCTATAGCGTCATTTATAAATTGAAAAATTGCACGTTGACTAAAATTATAGATTAATTCTTTCTTAACCAGTTCATTACCCTATTACACAATGTTTTCAAAGATTTTTGAGAATGAAGATAGTAAACTTATGGGTTTGTAGTTGTTGACCGGTTCAGCATCTCCCTTTTTATAAGTGGGCGTTATCACAGCTAATTTTAGGGCTTCTGGATAAACACAGTTACATACAGTTATATACGTAATTATTGTAGAAAGCTACTTTAGTGACCAAAGCGTAAAAGTCCATTTGCTTGTAAAATAAGAGGAGAATGTTAGGTTAGATCAGAGAAAAAAGAGCGGGAAAATAATAGAATTATGACGGAACATTTCGCAACAAGAAAGGACAAGTGTTTAACTAGAATAAGAATAATTACTCATGTAAGAACCTCTACATAATATTTATCTTCCTAGACAATATGTCTACATTCTTCAATCATATTTAACGGGAAGAATGTTCAGAGTCAAAAAGAGGTATATTTGGTTAACACGTTAAACAATTAAATGGGTATATATTTTTTTGGCATACACTGTATAAGGATTGCGACGTCGTATACTTTTTGTTGTTAACGACGTGCTCGAAGAGTACGTCGCAATCTATTAGTGTTTGCAAAAAACTCATGAAAAAAATAAATTATAAAACAATTATTTTTGATAAAATGCTCTTATCACTTAAGAATCCACAATCGAGTATTATTTTTTTCGTCTTGATTTTAAGTATTTAATAACAAAAAAAATCTATTTCTATTTTCCCTATATACCACCTATATTTTATCAAATATATTTGATTTTGAATTCCTAAGTGATTCAGATCTTTTTTGCAAGAATAATTTTTTTGTGAAATGTAAGATAAAATGTTCTCATGCGTATAGTTTTTTTGGGACATACTGTACAACAGATTACTCTTTGAGCACGCCGGTAACAACAATATCTGAATACATTATGTTGTTAACAATATAAAATGATAATTTTTTAGGGGACATTGTTATGGGTTATTTTTGAGTTGTAATTTTTTTAAAGTTATTTTGTAATAAAAAAAAACTTGAAACAATAAAATTGGTAATGTACAAACCTTTGGAGGAGGTTGAGAAATGGTCATCCACTGATTAATAAGCGGATCATCTTTGGAATCGACTTCCTCTTTTTTCTCCTTCTCTTGCTTGTCTTTTAGCTCCTTCTTCTTGTGTTCTTCCACCAATTTCTCTAAGACGCTCCATTTGGCCGTCAGATCTTCATCCATTATAGACTGAACCTGTTTCATGTTACGCATAGCTACTCGAATGCTTCTAGACCGATCTTCGTTTTCGTCATCGGAACTATCCGAAGACGAGGAACTGCTACTGCTGCTATCCGACGACTGTTTCCTCTTTCTGCGAGATTTCTTTTTCTTTTTTTTATCTTTTATCGAAAACATATCGGACGATGAGCGTTGTTTTTCTTTGCGTTTACGTTTTTTCTTGGCATCATCGGATTCCGAAGAATCTGGAGGGCCTTTCCTCGTCATCGATTTTTCGCGATCTTTTAACCATTCCATTTCCCAATGAGGATTTTGAGAAACAAAATTCTAATGCAAACAATATTATTTATTCAAATGATAACTTTATTTCTCGGATATTATTTAGGTATAAAGAAAGAGGAAACAATGATGCATTTTGTAGAGAACCAATATAGGAATGAGAAATAGAATATGTTAAAAGTAAATTTAGAACGTACGAGAATTGATCAGAAAATTGCTGTAACGGGTCAAAAAATTTTTTTGGGGATAATTCTATTCATTTTTTAATACAGTCTTCTATCAACTTTTCACTTTAATTCAAACTATTTTCGAAACCTGTCGGGTTCGTCCTCATTTGCAATTTATAAAAATTATGCCAACCCAGTATTTTTACATTGCTTGGCAACACCGCTTGCAAGACTTGAACAATCACTATTAATTGTACTGTTTAATGTATCGTATCGATAACATTAGCAGGGTCGACTAGCATTTCTAGTCCAGACGAAATATCCACAATTTTATTATAAGATTGTTTTGAGAGTTTATCCCAATTTCTATTACATATTATAAGTTTTTCCATTGAAACGAGTTTAGTTCCGGATGATATTACGATTGCTACAATAATTTCGATACCAAAAATTTCGAATGCATGTAAGGCTACCCATTTAAGACCGATAAATTTGATTAGTGGTGTTGGAAAACTATTATATCTTCAAATTATTGATTATTTAGAGGGGAACAGTTTGATAAGTAATGTGCAATCAGGATTCCGTAGTAAACACAACTGTGAAACTGCTTTACAGTTGGTCTTGCATGACAGGAAGTTATCAATTGAAAATAATTTGGTTACAGAGGGCATTTAAGACTATTAATAGGGGTAGATTATTAATGAAATTAAGAGCTATTGGTTTGGGGGGTTCTGCACTGGACTGGTTGGGTCATTATGTGGAAAATAGGAAACAGAAAGTTTAAGGTAATTGTAATGGGGGTGCCACAGGGTAGTGTTCTAGGTCCGCTACTGTTTTTAATTTAAATTAATGACATTGCTGGTGTAGTCGAAAGATGCTCAATACACTTATTTGCATATGATACACTGATATATTTTACCCATGAAAACACTGAAACTTGTTTTAAAGAAATTAATAGTTCTATAAGTAAAATATATGATTATGGTAACGGAAACGCGTTGAAAATAAATTACGAAAAGACCAAGTGGATGTCAATTGGGGGTAATGGAAATTTAAAAAAAGTAAATGTGACATTGCAGTGTGTTTCTGTTGATGGAAAAATGTTTCAGACAGTTGATTAATTTAAATATCTAGAGGTCATGGTTGATACAAGTTTACAATTTAAGGAACATGCTAATAACGTCATCGAAAGCATATCATTTAAAATAAACTATTTGAGGCGCTGTTCTCCACATCTCAGCAAATGGGCTAAAATAATAATTTATAATACTCTATTACCTCATTTTATTTATTGTGCTACTATATTGTATTTGCTCAACCAGAATGAGTATGAGGATAATACTGAGCTGTTCGAGATTGGAACCAATCAATTCCATGTTGAATGTGCTTCAGTGGTTGGCTGTTAGAAAATATTTGCTATATTTACAAAATATTTTAAGTTATAATCAGGATGTTCATGACACAAAATAAGAACATTTTTAGAGTTTATAAGGCCACGAAAACATGTACACAAAATTCAGTGTTTTTTAAAGGTGTACAACAGGCTTTTAATAATTTGCCTGAATATATTAAATGTTCTTCAAACGCAGCAATATTTCAAAGAAAACTGCGTGAGTACTTGTTGACCAATTGACTTTTTTTTCTTGTTCTTTTATTATGTTTTGTATAGTTGACATGTAAGTGTACTGTATCTTATGTATTTTTTATTGTATTTTAAATTTGAAGATGTATTGACATGTAAAAAATAGTTTTTTTGACTAAATGAACGATTTATATATATTTTTAATTTAATTCAGATCAAAATAGATATAATACAGTCCACTTTAATCCCGAAAGGGACACGTATAATACCAATCACTTCCAGTATATTCTAGAACTAGTGAAATCTTCGAAATGTTCAATGATTTCAGTACTTGATGAAAATACATTTCTAGCCAACCAGTTTTTCAGATTCGGAAACACGAAGAAATGTTCAACTAACTGGAAACTTAATTTTTGCAGTTTCATTATCACGGACTTGTGAGACATTTCATTATGGTAATGGTATAAAACTTTTTTCTTTGCCAAATGAGACCATTTAGCTTTAATTTCTTTGTGCAATCTGTCTAATAAGGAAGCTGGTACTTCTTCAACAAATGAAATTTGAGGCAATCCAATTCATAGATGACACAAAGCAAATAAGAAGATTAAATAGTTTGAGTTAAAGTAATAGTGAAAAAGCAAAGCATAGTAAGTAACTAATATATTAGGATAAAGCAGCTCTCCACAAATTGATAAATTGGGATTTGAATTAGTACCCCTATTCGCCCAAATTCCTAGATTTGACTCGCAGCGGCTATCATCCGTTTCCAAACCTGAAAAAATTGCTCGGCGGTAAGAGATCTAAATAGCTATATCGAGGAATTAGATTCATCTACCTACAATAAAGCCATGGCTAATTTAGAACGTCGTTTGAGTAAGTGTTGAGCCAACAGGAGACTGTATTGAAAAATAAAATAAATGTTTGAATCAAGTTTTACCAGACATGTACTGTATGTAATATGATTTGCTTATAAAATTCTATTACATTCTGTTAATTAGGCAATGATGGAAATTGATAGATATTGAGAATAGAATAAGAAAAGTTTGTAGCGAAAATTATAAATCCATAGATGACAAAAATAAATATCCAGATTCATTACGCCATTTTAAAATAAAATAGTAATAACTAGTCAGTATATAACAATAAATAAAAAAATATAACTTACACTTTCAATCATTAATTACAGAATGTATATTAATAAGAATTATCATTTAAAATAACCTGAAATTGATAAAAAAACAAACAAAAAAAAGTAAATTACATATTAATTTTGAATACATTTCGATTAAAAATAGTTTAAAATGCTTCTTCCATTTTTTTCCAATTACCAATAAACGCTTTATCTAGAAAATGTCAATGTTACAAGCTTAATATCGATATTTAACTTACCTCGTAATTTTGATGGTGCATTTTGGATTTTAAGTGTTGTGAAGCGCAGTGTAGATCGCCTATCCAAACGTCGCACAACTTGCAATACCAAGAAGGGGCGGATATAAAGAACTGCAAACCTACGAAAAACATACCGATAAAACAAGAACATTGGGTGCTGTTATTAACTGTACAGTTCTTAGCTGATGTTGAACATCCGAAACACTTTTACTCACTGGTAGCAACAAAAACTTTGTAATATACATATGCCATAATAGAAATGGTAAAAAAAATAAAAACACATAATATCTGTATATTTAAATATGACTTATTGGTTATGATAAATCCAAATCTTAAAAAAAAAATTATATTCTAGGCGACGGTCACAAAAAATAACATTTTACGGATTTATTACCGTCCATAAAGTATAACTTTTATAAACATAGGTTTATTATACTTATCGTTAGTAATTCTGTACAAATTTTTAATAGGTTTTTTTATACGATCATTAAAAATTTGATACTATTCTTACATTTAAAACTATTTTCAGAAATAAGAATATAAAAATGTTGGATCTACTTGATGACAGTGGCTTAAAAAAATGCTTGGTGCACCTCGGCCACATTAATTTTTTTGGCCTCGGATACGCCTCTTTATAATTCAACCAAAAAACATAAATGTTACGGCCTTGGTACAGAAATAACTATTAGGTACATTTTCTTTTTAATATGTCATTCCTGGAAACTTAAAAATGGGACAACCACATTATCTATACGCGAATTTAGTGACCTATTAGTCAGTATACTATTCTGTATTAACCAGAAACAGGGTTAAATAGCATTATAAAAAAAAAGATTAAACAAGTAGATCACTATATTTTTTTAAACATTGTTATTCTTTTAAACTTATTTAAAAATGAATCAATAGTTACCCAGCTATAGCAACAGTTCCGCAAAAGCTAAATATAACTCAATAAAAAACAATTTCCAGGTTATAAAGTAGATGGGGTGACAACATTTTGTAGGAAATGAACGAAAGTTTCAGACAACAGTTTATCAAGAGTTAAAAAAGCGAGAGTTGAAAATGAAATGTATACAAATACAAATAAAACGGCGCCTAAGCGCATGGAGTGCCCCTGACGAGAAAAAAGTCCTCTTTGGATAACAATATCTACCACATAACTACATTTTCACTTTCCTGTTTGTATACAGACAGATAAGGAACTTATAGAAATCATGATTTTTTCAACCTCGATTATCGACGGATTTTACGTTTTAGGGTTCCTTGAATCCGTTTTTACTATTTTCGCGTCTGAATTCAGGATAACTTTGGTTAACGATAGGAAACGAAAGGATAACGGATAAATTTAAGCTTTAATCCATCCTTTAATGAGTTGATTAGATTTTTGACTTAGTCGGAACATCTGGGTTGAACTTTATAGGGGTTCGTTTTTCTATTTCATGGAATATATCTGGAGAAAAAAATTCTTTAAATAAAAGGTGCTTATGGTGTTCTATCTATCTGAATTAGGGCGTGGTTCAAAGCCCACTTGTACTGAAGCTCTAGACTTATTGTACCCTTCACAGTTTCTATCCCATCAGATTGATTTTCTTGATGAATTTAAGAATATGTCTGATGGGCGCTTTCGCGATTTCTTCAGGTTCTGGATATTGTACCCCGAAGTACCATTCCCGTTCCCATTTGAGGTTCCGACAGTGGCATAGTATGTGAATAGGAGTTCGCTTATGCTTATGATGTTAGTTATTCTTTATAATGTTTGTTCTATACATGATTTCCCTAAAGTGGACCGTATTCGAGATATTTGAAGTAAAGTGCAAAATTCGAATTTTGAAAATAATTCAAAAACGGATTAAGAAAAAAAAAAACAAATTTTAAACTTAAGCTTTAAACCATCCTGCCGTGAGCTAATTGAATTTTGGACAGATTCAACACATCTAGGGGGGGGGGGGGTACTTTATAGGGGGTCGTTTTTCTACTTTATGTATAGCAGAAGTAGAAGTTGGATAGGCTTTCCCACTTTATACACATAAATTGACAGGTTTGCGGCGGATCTCACCGAAGTGGACGCGATACATTGTCGTACAAAATTATTTTATATATGATAACAATTTCAAGTAAATAGTTTAATAAATTGTGAATAGCTGTTGAAATTTTGTAAAATTATGATTTGAATACTATAATACATGTTTAATAATTATTTATAGTACATAAATACATGCGATTATCCGGTTCCGCCGGTATCAATTTAAACTTACTTATTCTATGAAAGGACACTGGCAGGTAAACATTACTGCGAAATTCTCGAAGCCGTCCGACGTGGTTTGACGTTTACCCCCTCTCTACCTACCAAAAGCCTTTCCAACTTTTACTTGCGCTATAATATATGGCTTTCTTAAGGGGAAATCCACAGAGTCAGCTACATGCAATCTACTAGAGTATATTTATGAATCATTAGATCATGGAAAACTAATTGCAGGAATATTTTTTGACTTATCGAGGGCGTTTGACTCTCTAGATTTCAGATTCATTGAAAACAAATTATTTAATTTCGGTTTTAGGGGAATATTTTTGATTTTTTTATCGCATAGGACAATGTTTGTTAAAATTCAAGATTCAACGTCCAATTGTCATGAAGTTAACCTAGGAGTCCCCCAGGGGTCTGTGCTAGGACCACTGATATTTCTGCTGTTTATTAATGATTTGCCACAGTCTATTTGCAGATAACACCTCATTAGCTGTTGCAGCACGAACCCATGATGAACTGAAATTGCTTGCTGAAGAACTCATAGACTGCTTTGTTAACTGGTGCAAATCAAATGGTCTAATAGTCAATAGGGACAAAACAAATCTAGTATTTTTTAGCCTGAATTTTAATTCTACCATCTACCAGCCACAATTAAACGTGGGCGGAAGTTTGATAACGCTTTAGTTTTTACAAAATTCCTGGGTATCTATGAGGACCAGTGTCTTAACTGTTCGGAACATATAACCTCTCTGTAATCAGCTCAGCAAGGCCTACTATGCAATTTCTTGCATAAAAGATAGTGTACCTTCTAGTGCGTTATTAAACGTATACTACAGTCTAGTATACAGTCATCTTAGCTACTATGTTATTCTCTGGGGTAATGCTTCAAACAAAGATCGGGTTTTTATAAATCAAAAGAAAATTCGTAAAATATTTACCGTACCATACCGTGAGTCCTGCAGAGATGTCTTTATTGATAACAGAATTTTGACATTTCCATGTATATACATTTTAAAATGCTTGTTTATTAAAAATAACTTAAATGCATGTTGTAAACTATTCCTTTTTCATAATTATCGAACTAGAAATTCGAATCTCTTGGCGATTACTAAACATGCAACATCCAAGTTTGAAAATTCTCCTAAATATATGGGCCTAAAACTCTACAATCACCTTCCTAATCATTTTAAAAACATGAGTTTAAACAAATTTAAAAGACCTGCCAAGCAGTTACTGTTAGAAAAGGGTCATTATAGTGTGAAGGAATATTTTTCTGACACTCCCACCTATGACTAAAAAAATGTTTTAACTCTTATTTGTCTACATTTGTTAATATTTTCTTTTGTCTCTTTTTTGTCTTATATTGTACTTATATTTTAACTCTGCCTTGTCCTATACATTTTTTATGTTTTAAAGGAAAATAAATATTATTGTTATTTATGCTTGCAGAAGAAAATTCTTTAAATGAAAGTTGCTTGTTATGTTATCTATAATTTTTGTCCTATACATAATTTTCCTAAAATGGACCGTAATTGAAAAATTTGAAGAAAAGTGTGAAATTTTATTTTATCAGTATTTTCGTTGGCATTAAATATATATAAAAAAATGTTTTGAGTTAAATGTATGTATTTAGTTCATTCTCTAAATATTTACAAGGGCGATACAATATGTCGCACAGAATAACTAGAAAAAATCTATAATAACTTTAGATACATATCAGATAATTTATCTTGGAATTATTTTAACGAAACTTACAGTAGAAAGTAGATTGTTGGCACGTAAACAAATCAAACTACTCCTGAACTTGAATAAAAGCAAATGCACTGGTCAATTTTTAAATTCCACATAATAAATACCATCAATTTAGAGCTCAATCACCATAATCTAATATTGTAAACTAGTAGAAATCTTTATAAACTCAGTAAATCTGTTTATACATTCCCTACAAAATTGAAATTGTTGAAGAAATGGATATTGACAAAACAAATATTAGTAATAATATAAGAACATATTGCTCATGTGGCATCTTTATAATAAATTTTATTGTGAAATTATTATAAATTGCAAAGTCCCATTTTTAAGTTAATCAGGCGAGATTACATCATTGTTTAAAATTTATTAATCAACATAGAAATACTAATTAATTCATTATGCAAAACATAATATTTAATACCTTTAATCGGGACACGTTTCTTGGGAGCATCTTCGTCCGACGGCATCAACGGTTCAGTCGGTAATTTGTGCCACGGCGTGGCGTCCATGTCATTTTCTTTGGCCGTCTCTCGATGTTTCTTGTCTTGCAGATGCAGAAGAAAATCTTTAGCCGTATCAGGAAATTCGTCACACATTCGACACCAATGCAAACCGGTGTCGTAATGAACGTAACAATACGCTTCGGGGGAATTTTTTATAGGTTCGACAGGAGGAGGATTCTTGTAAGGGTTATTATCGAAGTGGGATTGATGGGAAATCGGTGTGGTTGCAGGATTGGGGATTTCTGGTGTAAGTAATTCAGCTTCGAGATCGCTTATCGATTTATTATCTTTTATAATGCTGGACAGCATCTCGATAACGTTATGAATGGCTTTCAATTTGCCTTGAATCTCGTCCTGAAAAGAAAAAAAAGTGTAGAAAAACTGTCCATTCTGGATATATCATACAGAAACGTAACTAATACATACTGGCGCCTGGCTGTCTCCTTTTGGTATAAAACTATAAATATTCTGCTGTGTATAAGGTTTAAAATTTGGGAATGAAGAAAACTCTACAGAAATAAAATACTAGCACCAAAGTTAATAACTTTGGAACTAATCACTCCACTGTGTATCCACCAAAAAAACTAAATTAGGGAAATAACTGGGGGCTTAAAGGATCTACTAAATAAACATGAAAAACATCGTTTTTTTTTAATAAATACTAGAATTATTTAGTTACTTTTAGTGAAAATAGTAAATTATTATATTAAAATATAAGTTTCTTTTTAAATTAACAGTAATTTACAATGCATTAGTTTATAACTAAAAATATTGTACACAAAGCAGCTTTCTTGTCCAATTAACAATTTTCAACTGAAAATATAAATAACAGAAACCTAGTATTCCATATTTTCAATTTCATTCCTTCGACCTACCTGCAGTTTGTCGTTTTGTTTCAAAATATTTGTCAAATCCATGTCCGGCGATTGTCCGTTTCCGACAAGATCTTGTTTTTGCATCCTCAACTGATCCAGTTCATATCTCAGCACCGAAGCTTTCTTCACGTAATCTTCACGTTGCTGAATGAGCTGAGCTTTTTGTTGTTGCATTTCTTGAGCCACTGCTACAAAATAAATATATTAGTCGAAACAGTCAAATCTGGAAATTATAACAGTATTAGGAGTTGATAAGTCTCAAGCGACTTTTAACCTTTTTCAATCCAGAGGGTCTGTCCTTTAACGGAGGTCGATTCCCTACGAAAAAACGGTATTAAAATGCTGATCATGAACGACTACATTATAAAGTAAACAATATAACATCCCAAACACCTAAATAATATATTTATAAAAAAATGTTTTAAAACATCAAATATTATTTTTTGTAAATCAATTTATTTTTATATAAATTAGATAAATATTTCTGGATATGCATTGGATTTCCCAACATAATAATTTTACATTAAACAATACATTAATGTATTTGTCTATACTAAATTTTTTATTGGTTTTGTATTTAATTTACTGTTTCATTACATGCCATCACTCACCGTACATATTGAAAAAGTTGTAGGAGAAACAAAGTGGAATAGCCATGGGGGTAGAGAGAGGGTCAGAACCTCACAAGGGGCTCATTTGTGCCCTCGGTATTGTACAATGTTCAAAATACTTGTATTAAATAGATAGATAATACAAAAACGGTAATATCAGGTTATTTTAAGAATTTATCTATAGTCATTGAGAACAGTTTATTGTTCGTTAGGTCAATTATTTTAGAATATTCTACCATTGTTTGGAATCCTTAATATTAAATTTATATTAATCAAATAGAAAGGGTCCAAAATAAATTTGTAAAAAACTGTTCTTTTAAGTAGTGCCACATTAAAACTCAGTTATAATGGCCAGCATGTTGAGGGTCAAACATTTTCACAATGCTGAATCTAGGGAGGTCTAAGATCTATAAACCCCCCATGATAGGTTGGCATAGTACATAACTAAATTCCAAAGGGATTATTATGCCAAAAATAGTATGTAATGTACTAAAATTTTATCAAAATAAAATGTAGTTAACATTAAAATAAAACACAAAAATTTATTGTACTTACATATGAAAAATTATAGTATAGTAAAAAATTAAATGGATATTTATCATTGTAACTCTTTAATTACATTATATTTAAAAGGAAAATTATTCAAAACTTAAGTTAAGAAATCCAATTAATGTCTAAATCTATATGTAAGTAGTTCTTCACTTACCATCCTTTGGATCTGGATTCGATCTATAAGTTGGAGCCCAATTATTAGATGGATATGTCTCTTGTCCAGTTGCAGTTGGTTGTTGAGTAGGCTATGAAAAAATTAATATTATCTTATATATGGCACGAATACTTATTGATAATGACAATTGAAGTGGATTATTCATTCATTTCAAAGGAAGGACTCTATAGAAGCTTAACATGTCAAAATTTAGACATGCAGGAAACAGAAACATCCAAATATTTAGGTATAATTATAGACCAGCACTTAAACGACTGCCATATAATATATATAGCAAAAATACTTAGATTTCTGATTTATAAATTTTATCTTCTAAAACAATTTATCAACCAGGATCTACTAATAACATTATACTACAGTCTAGTAGAATCTATACTACGGTATGGAATCTTAGTATGGAGATGCCTGTATGGAACTACATTAAATCAGTTAAATGTTATTCAAAACAAAATCTTGAAGTTAATATATAAAAGAGATATATTGTGTCCCACCATAACTTTATATAATGAAAAAATTAACAATGTTAGATGTTTATATATTCACGCAGTGTGTTGTTATATACAAAAAAATGAATTTTTAAAAAACCCTTTAGAATATAGATATAACACTAAAACTGCATCGAACATGTGCATTAAAGTACCAAAACCAAATGGTGAGTTTTTTTAAAACAGTGTAAATTATCTAGGGACAAAGTTCTATAATGCTCTACCTCTTCATATAAAATTATTAAACAAATATAAAAAATTCTGTAACATTAGCAAAATATACATTTTCCAAAATAATGCAAAGTTTATCAGAATATTCCAAAAATAACGGACTTAATACATGGATTTTTTTAAGTAGTTTTTTTCTCTGTTTCTTGCATAAATTGTTCAAGTTTTATTTTTTATTAAAAAAAAAAAATAAAAACTTATAATAAAACGAATAAGAATGTATCAAAAACTATACTATATTAATTAAGGGTTGTCAGACATTCTGATTTTAACAGGATATTCCCAATATTAAGAGGTTTTCCAGTGTCCTGATGGACTATACGTCGGAATGCTAATTGTCCTAATTTCACAAGGTAACATATTTATTCAGAAATTTGGAATATTAGGAGGTGATGGCAACAATACATGACTATATAAGAAAATTTTTATTGTTGTTTTGATAACTATGTATATTATTTCCTTTATTATAGTATTCCTTAAAAATCTCTACAAAAAAAAACATACAGACTCAAACAGAAAACATTTTATGTTAATTTTTTTTGAGGTTAAAATTTAGTCTTTAATTAATTAAGTCAATTTCATCTAAATAACTTTTGTTAACCAAAATACTAAAGTTGACAAAGTCACATAAGATAATAGCACGTTTTTTTTTAATTTTTACGCAATATTGTACCTATATAAATAAAAAATAACAATGGTTAAAAAATGAAGTATTCATTAAAATATATATTAATATTTTTATTTGAATTACCTGGTTAGAATAACCTGTATACCCTTGATAATTTCCATAATTGCTTGAATAAGTTTGAGCAGGGTACTGGGAATACCCCCCTGCTTCGTATCCAGTGTTTGTATAGTGAGCCTAAAAAAAAATAAACAAATTTGTGTGACAGGTATTACAATAACATAAAGACATTTCAAATTTTTAAAACTGGTATATGGCAATAAATACTTATGGTCATTAAAAAGTCATTATTGGTACTAAATAGTATTATTTAATTTCAGTTGTATTCAGAAAAATAAAATATGATGCTTGCAATGTATGTTTGTTTTTCCTAATGTTTAAATACTATTTACAGCTTTTTTTGTATTAAAATAGGTGTATAAAATAGAAGTTCATAATTTTCTAACCAAATTTTTTATACAAAAGTTCCAAACATCATTACATTGTATTTTTCTGCATAGACACTAAACTGTTTGTTGTACACTTGGAATATGTTTTACAAATTCATATGCTTAAATTCTAAATGTAAAAGAAAGAAAAGCTCTCCTGTATTAAAATTAATTTTTGAAGAGTAATAATAAAAAAACAAAAATAGAGATAAGTGAGCATGAACAATAATAATAATCTTTTATTCCATTGAGACCATTTACATGATATTGGAGAAGTCAAGTAGAACATTAAAAAAGATATGTAGTATATAAGTGTGTGTACAACAATTTTAAAACAAAATACAAAGATAAATAAAAATACAAAGATAAATAAAAGTAGAAAGATAGATAAATAAAAATACAAAGATAAATAAAAGTAGAAAGAAGATAAATAAAAATGCAAAGATAAATAAAAAGTACTAAAAGTTACAATCCAAAAATATAGCTATATTATAAAATGCTTATTGTGACAAGAGATCTTTGAGAGATTTTTTAAATGCATTAAAATTTTGATTTTCTTTTAAGGAGATTGGTAGTTTATAACTGTATACCAGTATAAGATGGACTCTTTTCAAAAAACGCTGTCTGGTGAGGGGGTATACATAGCAGATTACCATGTCTAGTCTGATAGTTATGAATATCAGCACTTTTAATGAAGTCTGTCAGTTTCTGTCTAACGAATAGAATATTTTTAAAGATGTAAATACAGGGAAGAGTTAATATTTTGTAGTGTTTAAAGTAATCTCTACAAGAGGTGCGCTTATGAATCCCAAGAATAAGACGTATTACTTTTTTTTGTAAAATAAACAATTTTGTAGAAAATCTAGTGTTTCCCCATATTATAACATTATAAGACAAATGTGAGTATGTCATTGCATAGTAGATATTTATTAGTTGTTGTGAAAATATATTTTTAAGTTGTAAAATTGCATAGTAACTGCTACATACTTTCTTAGAAATGTGATCAGTACATGCCTGAAAGGAGAGAGATGAGTCAAGAATAGTGCCAAGGAATTTTGTTGTCTCAGAGGATGTCATAGTAAGATTTTCAGTATGGGGGCGTCCATTAATTACGTGAGGTGTTCAAGGGGGGGAGGGGATAAAACTAAATCTTTCTTAATCTCACTTGGGGGGGAGGGGGGGTTTTCGTAAATCTCACGTAATTTTTTTCTAGTAGAAAACGGTATAAAATTGCGTGAAAGTAAAGTTAAATTATAGTATTTCTAGAATAAAATATGGAAAAATCTTATAATTATGTTTATTTATTTTTTATTAATTTCCATTTAAGTATTTATCATTTAATTTTATTAATGTGATTTTAAATAATTGCAACACTCTCAAACACTAGTCTTTGCTAGTCTTAAATAAAAGTAATGGAACATATTGTTTTTTTTTTTTTTTTTTTTTTTTTTTTTTTTTTTTTTTTTTTTTTTTTTTTTTTTAATAATCCAACACATTTACACCCAAAACACAAATTTTGAAAAATCTCACGTGAGATTAGGGTAGGGGGGGAGGGAGTTAAGGAAAATCTTACCAAATCTCGCCAGGGGGGGAGGGGAAGTCAAAAAATCCTCAAAAATACCTCACGTAATTAATGGACGCCCCCTATGTATTTCAAAAGGTTTGTTAGAGTCATTTGAAATGTGAAATTTCATTAATACTGTTTTCCCATGGTTAAGAATTAAATGGTTGTTCAAACACCATTGCTTAAATCTATTATAGAGTTGACTTAATTTATCTGCTAGTTCTTCAGGGGAATTACCATAAGTTGTGAAGGAAACATCATCAGCATATATAACTTTACAGTTTGCATCCATAAATTCTGGTAAATCGTTAATAAACAATAACAAAAATAAGTGGCCCAAGTACAGAGCCCTGAGGAACTCCCAGATACCAACTATTTTTCTATATCTTACATATGACCTCAACCAAGTCAACATACTGCCACAAAATCCCAAGGCATATAGTTTTTCTTCAACAAAATCTAAATTTAAGGTATCAAAAGCCTTAGTAAGGTCAAAGAGTGCTCCAACAGTTTTCTTGTTATCAAGATTTTTAATGATAAATTCAACAAATTCATATACAGCTCCTTCTGTAGACCTCCCAGGGTAGAAACCATTTTGACATTCTGTTACTGTATTGTGTTTATCTAAATAATTGATCATTCTATTATACATAGATTTTTCAACAATTTTGCTAATCACATTTGAAACAGTTATCTGCCTGTAGTTATCCATACACAGAGGATATTCTTTTTTATAGATGGGAGTAACCAGTCCAGTTTTCAGTTCTTCTGGATACTGACCAACTTCAATAGAGATATTTATTAAATCAGAAAGAGGCTGTGAAATATACAGAGCTATATATTTAATAATTTTTGTTGATATACAGTCAACACGGGGCGAATTGGTATTTTTCCAGTTAGATATCTCAAAGATCTCCTGATAAATAGTCCAATCATATAAAAAGGCGGTCAGAATTTGTGTTAAGCACCTAACCATAGTAGAACATATATTTTTTTTTTCATCTGAAATTTGGTGGTATTATATTGTAGACCTTTGAAGGCCAATAATATAAACTTTTCTGGATGTATGAGATGTTATTGGTTAGAAATCATGTGTCTTGTATGTCGGATATGCTTAAATTTAGTTGTAGTTAACTATTTGATATTAATCTAAAAACAGATTTTATATATACCTAATTGTTTAAGATTTAATATATTTTAATTCACGAATAAGAATATCAGATGGGAAAGATTTCTTTTTAAACAAATTTTTAATCTGTATTGTCTTTAATTTGTAGTAATTAGTATTAAAGTTTCAACTTGAAATAGAATTTGGTGAATTGGTAAAAAAAGCACAAATGCCTTGAGGGCAGTATAGGAATTGCTTTTTCTATAGATTGGTATTCAAGAGGATAAACATATGTCTACATCAACAAGTGTTATTGCGAATGTATTTACTTAATAGAGATTTACTTTAAAATTAACAGGATAGTGAGGATACATATCTTAATCAAAAAGTAAAAATTTTTGTTAGGATATGATTTGTGGCTCATTTAACAAGTTATTCATTGGCTACTTAATAAAATTTAGAACTTTACTAAATTAGTGCATGTAAAAGGAAATAAAGTAGGTATCTACCTAAAAATTTGCATCAAAATAACTATGGTTAAAAAAAGTTTGATTGAAACTGCCTACATGTACTTAAATGTACTAATTAATCTACTTTAAAACATATGTTTATTAAACTCGCAGTGAATAGTTATTTTTCATTAATATTAAAATATATCTAAAAGAAATTAAAATATTTGATTAAAAAATTACTTACACTATTGTTATTATACATGGTGAAATTCTTCTTAAAACTGATCAGAACTTATCAGAAAATAACCACGTTTTAAGTAAGATATTATATGTCTTTAACAAAGGTATTTTAATATTAATACTCTAGAAAATTATTTCTAGTAAACCCAAGCCACAACACACTATTATGTGCTTTATGGATTAATTAATTGTTCCACAATCCACAATAAGTCACTAATTCTTATATAAAATATTTTATAGCGAATTTAATAATGAATTATTAATCACTGGTCCATATTTTAAAAGTTTAATATCTCTAAAATTTGTAAATTATCTGAACATTTTGTGAATACTCGGCATTCGGCCATTTTACACTATTGCTAGTTGTCAACGTCAAACGTCAACCATAAAACTTTTATCCTCTTTCATATACCTATGTGAACGTTTACTATGTTAGTATCCATCTTTTTATTTTTTTTTTGATTCCGTAATTAAGAATTATTCTAAATAACCAAATAGTCAAAATAAAATTAACCAACCCTTAAAGAATTAGAAAGTGTAATACAAAACAGAACAACTTTAAAATGAAACACAATCAATATACAGAATGTAAATTTGAAAGCTACCCACCCATAGAAAAACTAAAGCTTTCCACCCTTACCAATTATCTTCCTTTCAGTAAATAATCGGAAAGACATATCAATTTTATTTTTAAGGGGGACACTTCCAATGAACATTAAATTATTAATATTCTAAAATTTATATGAGGTCGGGCTAAACGTTATTTAATTAAGTTTATGTTTTAATGGAGTGGAATCACTTAAAGAATAATTTTTACAGTAAAGCAAATTTAATTTTGATAAAAAAATTCCTCTAGTAGCCTTTAGGTCCAAATGGGGTCGGAATAAACTTGACCTTGGCCTTCCAGTTTTTAACAAACTCAATTTAATAGCCATTTACAGCTTTATAGTAGCACGCAGAACTGGGCAGAGTACTGCGTTAAAGTATGAGTACTTTACATTTACAATGAGTAGCTTTACAAAGAACTTATAATATAAGTATCTGAATATGAGTAAGATTAATAGCAAATAAAAGCAAATTAGTTCTTTTGCAAATTTTAGGGTACTCGTGAAAAAATCGAGTAACGAGTATAATTATCTTACCTATTTTAAATAGTTCCAGATAGGACCGATTCCACCGTTGTGTTAAACGAAGTTTTACCCAAGTAGAGGTAAGTAACAAACAAAAAACGAGAGTATAACTTCTTATCTTCTATAAATTAGTTAGCACTTCACTTACCATTAACTTGTACCTACGCCCATGTTTTCATTTTATTGTTAATGTAAAGTAATATTAATAATGTAGGGGCAGAGATGCAGGAATTGCCTTAGGGTTATGACGCCGGGTAGTGAAATTTTGAAAATTAATGGAATTTCTAAATATATTTTGGGAAGATTGACAGAAAGAGGGTTTTAGAATTATCAGTTGGGAAATTTTAAAAAATGGCCAGGAAATATTATATTGAAGTTTAGATAGGTAGATATTAAAGTTGAAGATTTTATATCGTAGAGATGAAATAAAAAATAAAAAAAATAAAAAGAACAATGAAAAACGTGTGAATGGATGAATAGGAAGGAGAACTTAGCAGGAAGGAGAAATTGTCAGAAAGAGGAGTAAGAGAAGAAAGTAGAGAAAAACAGCAAGAGGAGACCAGACAGGAGAATAGGAGTTAGAGCAGAAAGCAGAAGAACCGGAAGCAAGAAAAAAGAAGCGAAGCGGAAGATTTAGATTTTTTTTAATTCAATATTTATCGATTAGTATTATTTTTATTTATTGTTTTGACATTTTTGTGGGAAGCCGAAGGAGCCATAACCCTAAAAGCTTTAGGATATTGGAATGGTTTAACTTTTCCAAAGTGGAATCATTATAACATACATGCGCGTGTCGGTACTCATACTCGTTACTCATCAGTCGAAAGAATAAAAAGTACTCAGTACTCTAAAATATAAAGCCCTCGAAATTTTTTGAATATGAATCCCATCAAGATGAAAGTACTTACGAGTATCAATTACTGAGTAATTTGAGTACTTGAGTACAATATTTTGATTACAATTTACTCGAATAGTGCCCTGCTCTGCTAGCACGTCAATATTAAGTATTAAAAATAAATAAATAAAAAATTGTTTATTTCGGCCCGGTTTAATCATAATTTTCCTCATTTCCACATAAAGAATTAGTCAGAAACAAAGAGCCATGGCTATTTCATAACATTTATATAGCAAATCACCAAAACCTCCACAATTTAGGTTGGTAGATGGAAGTAACCCAGCCATTTTCTTTCAGAGACAATTTATAGATCGCTTTTCAACTATAATGCAAAAACTTTCTTTATAGGAACTTTCTGCCTTATTTTCACCTGTACCTCAAAATTTGGAGTACCCTGTATACATTGCGATTACCCCTTACTACCTTCTGTACCGTAAAAATGTATATTGCACCGAAAACTTACTTTGGAATAATTTTAAAGCTTTAGTTACCCACCATGTATAACTACTGGAATTTTAGGACTATAAGAATATAAAACATTTTAAATATTCTTATTTTAAAAATAAACATAAACAAAAATTGAGACAATATTCCAAACAACAATCGTTTTAAGAGCAATAAACCGAACACGTCGAAAATTTATAATTCCTTCCTCAGAAGTCTCAACTTTATTTCAAATCAGATTTTTGTGAAATTTTCAGGAAATACCAATATTAACAAAATTTAAGGTGGAGAAACCTTGAATTTTTTGTAAACCTTTGAAAAGTATTTATTTTTAAAATTTTTAAAAGAAATAAAAAAACATTTACTCGCCATTCTGTATTAAATCTAAGAATATTTTTGCTTTCTATTTTATTAAAGATCTAATTAGTAGTTTTTAAATAGAAGGCATTTCCAATCTTAAACGTCTCTGTAGAGTGCTGCCCTATCGTTGCACAAATTAAAAGCTTTCAATATTCTCAAGACATATATGCCACGAAGTATTCCCAGTGGCGCACATATAAATACAATTTTATATTAGACAATTGTTGAAAACATTTTCACTTCCACGAGAGGTCCGGTTTGCTCTTATAAGTAAGACATAAAATACAATCGAGCAGTTTTGTTGGATATGAAATAAAAGTTAATCAAATTTTAACAGACGTATGAAACGAATCTCCGAAGTGTTAATTGTAATAAACAAAAATGTTTACAAATTTCGGGGTGTTACTTGTGTAATTTAAATTTGGCCTTTTCTAAATGGATTAATAGGAGTAATGTATACTAAGGCTAGAATTTTTTTTCTTTTAATAATAATAAATCGGAATTTTTTTATTTTATATTATTAATATAATTAATATCACATTAAATAATGCCATAATACTCTTGAAGTTCTTTTATTATATTATAGCATAAACTATTGGTATCTTTTTTTGTCAAAGTGCCATTCCCAGTCCAATTTAGAACTAATTCCTGCAATAGCCTAAATGAATAGGAGTTCCATCTTCTTTACGTAATCTACATAGAAAGTTGTCAGATATCCCTAAGAGATTTAGGTGTCTTCTAAGGCAGACCTATAATTGCTGCTAATGTTTAACAGTTGATTTTATCAGCTCTAGGATGCACTCTCTATAAATATTCTGGACTGCCTGAGTCCAGGAAGTTCCAACAAGAGCCTACGGTGTTCTCTACTTATCTGTTCCATTTAGCACCTCTTGAACATGTTGAATTAAAACGAAATAACACATGTGAGTTCTGGTTCAATTCGAGTTTTCCCTCCCTTCCTGACTAGGAGGTCTGCTTTCTCATTTCCTAGCACCCACTCAAGAGTGCGAGCTTATTATGTTCTTTTAGGGTCTGGAGCGACTTTTGGTTGTCTAATATTAATTTAGATTGTTCCAAAATTTCCTCATGTCCTTGCACCTATTCAAAAGTGCTCTTAGTATGTTCTGTCACGGTCTTGAGAGATTATTAGCAATCCAATATTAATTTGTGTTGGATTTGTAGGTTATTAAAAGTTGAACCCAACACAAATTATAAATAAGGCGCGCTTACCAAATGGACTGTCTCCTCTCAATGCTAGCTGCAACCATCTCCATATGAACAATGAAATTTCGAAACTTTGTAAAAAACAATTTATTGTGCAAAAACGCTGCACGACAACTTTTAACTTTGTACATATTTATATTATTTTTAGTTAACAACTACCTACATGCTTAACACTACACTAGGATTACACATTTTGTTTTATGTACTATCTTTGCTCAGAGAACTTAAGTGATTTGTATAATAGCAAAGAATTGTCATGATGTTAATGAGAGCGCATCTGTCTTCCATGAAAGCACAGACTTCGGACTTCTCTGCCGTTTTGTGTCGTTTTGAAAGAAAGAGATACATATATAACTACGTGACCTAAGTTAGTTATCCTTGAGTGTTTCACGCCGAAGTCGCTTTGCGAACACGATTATTGTCACGTACACACTTGTTTACATTGCTAACAATGAACACCTGGGTTCGCGAGCACAGGACCGTCTTTGATATGTTTCAAACGGTTTTGAAGCAATTTGTATTATACTTCTACCCTTTTTAGTGCTTTATAGGTCTGCCTGGCTTTCTGCCATAATAAATACTATTAGATTTTGGCAGGAAGTAAATAGTGAACATTTTGAATACCTTCTGCATTATGGTTAAATTTGTTAATTAATGATGATAGGTGAGTTTTTCCGGGTTTTCTTCACCTGTAAGTCAAATACACCAATTATCATCTGTAAAAGGCTTCGAAGCGTCACGACAAATAATAATAATTTCCGCCCCTTCCCCGCATAAGGCCAGTCGGCTTTTTATAACAAAAAGGCCGAATTCCGGTTTTACCAGAAATGTCATTAATGTCATGCAACCTGTCCTCCCCTGTTTTTTGTTTACCTTCACCGCTACTGCTACGGTTGCCGTTGGCCGATCGAGAATCGACTAGAAAGATTCATAGAGAAAGCTTTCTGAAAACTTCCAGGCTAGCACTGATATCATTTTAGTCAGGATTTTATTTTTTCTAGGCTGTTACATTTTCGTATGTAAGTGATTTTTTTGCAGTACCTACTAAGTTAGTTTTTAAAATAAATGTCGAATAAAGATAGATTGTTAAATAAATTATAAATAAAGTATTTTAAATAAACTATTTTTAAAATAAAACAAACGTCACATTAAGTTTTATTTTTTGAATTTACAATTTAAATTACATATTACTAAGTTAACTCATAATATGTGTTTTAAATTTTGGCACCTATTCCAGGAAAATCAGGTATAAGAGCAAGGCGATGTGTGGGCGATAATAAATCTCTCTTATATCGATCAATAAAAGATAAAACGATAAAACTAAGACCAGTTGT